ATATATATATATATATATATATCTCTCAATAAATAGCAACAGTGTTATATTACCAACACATTATGCAGGACCCCACAGAAAGTACTGAATATTCCCTGGTAGTCTCTATTCTGCTATCCACACACAGTCCATAAAACCCCAGGGCTTCCGGTTATGGTGTGTCTGTGCACAACAGTAAGATTAGACACAAAAAGATAGAAACAGAAGACTGATGGCAAAAAAGGTAAAGTGATCCTTAGAATGTGTCATTGCTTTATTAACATTCTTTTCTAAGGATGGACCTATGTTTACCCAAAGCATGTTTAACCAATCAGGACTTCAAACAATAGCGATACATCCTAAAAAAAACTTTAACAAAGATTTTAGGAAGCATCTCTAATATCCAGCTACTTTCTATATCACCAAATTCTAGCTGTCAAAATTACAGCTAGCAAGTGCTTTCTATTACACAGCAGGAGCAGCTGTAAAAATGTAGTTGCTCCTTTGTACAATTATACTTGCAGTCTGCAAGTGTCATTGAGTAAATACAATGAATAAATGTATTGTGTCATTGTATGTTCTACTTCATTTACATGTAGATCAAAATGTGATCTATGTATCAATGCAATAGTAAATGCAATGAAATCACTTAACCACTTCAGGGCTGGAGCAATTTTTTTAAATGTTTCATTTTCACACACGTAAAAATCTGAATATTTATATGGAAAATTACTTATGTGTCCTATGAAAGCTGCCGTGCTTAATAAGACCTCTAATAATACGATCAATAAAGTGCACTGAGTTAAAAAAATAATAATCAGCAATAGAAAAAAATATATATACAATTACCAATCTATACATAAAAAATGTAATAATGTAAAGTTGTAAAGTGCGACAATATATATCCACAATGATAAAGTGAAAATAACAATAGGGCATATAAAATGCCACCAATAAGTGCTCAGTCACAATCGCAGTAACTATAAAAGTACATTGAATAGATAGTGAAATATTGATACAACCTGTGATGTACCAACAATACATAGTGCTCAATCCCATCACTTACATGTGAAACATTAAAAACCGAAAAAATAATATGAAAAAGTGATCCACATCAATAATCAATTCATATAAAACTGTCCCGTTAGGTAGGCGGGCTCTGCTGACATCACGTTCAGGACACGATGGAGGAGAGCGCGCTGTATTGTGTTGTTTGCCGGCATGTTTTAACAAGTTTTTATGTGAGTACATTTTACTGTTTTAATAAATCTTTATGGTCAATATTACACTATAAGCTGTTATTTATTTCATGGGATGGTATGATGGTATGTGCCTTGGATAATACCATTGAAACCGGGGATATTGGATTGTGAATGTTGTTATGAGAATAAAAGCCGGATTGGAGGCAAGGATTTCTTTTGTTTTCGGGAATCATTACATCACGCTTTCTATGACCATCTAATAGTAGACGGTCATAGTGATTCGGTGAGTGCAGTGGAAGGAAGCTGTGCTGTTCACTTGGGAGTGGATGAGTGGAGCACTATATGTTACCAGCTCATGGATTGATTTTATTGGGACACTTTTATATGAATTGATGTGGATCACTTTTTCACATTATTTTTTGGTTTTTAATGTTTCACATTTAAGTGTAATACAGGATTGGAATTGGGATTGAGCACTTTGTATTGTTGGTACATCACAGGTTGTATCAATATTTCAGTAATGTAATGTGTATGTTTATACTTTCACATGAAAGTATGACTCAGGACTGTGATTGTGACTGAGCACTTATTGGTGGCATTTTATATTTCCTATTATTATTTTCACTTTATCATTGTGGATATATATTGTCACACTTTACAAATTTGCATTATTACATTTTGTATGTATAGATTGTTAATTGTATATATATTTTTTACTATTGGTGATTATTTGTGAGCGCAGTGCACTTTAAAATGGTGGGTGCCCCAATTCACCTACAGTGCGCATATAAACGCAAGTTTGCCCTAAAGAACAATAAGCAATGCTTCCTTTTACGTTTCTTGGGACCGTTGGCTATGACATCCGTATTGCACATAATAAGTGCACACTACATCCATACTGCTCTCTGTTATTGATGGATGGAATATTCGTAAGTTTAAGAGTTGCCTTTTTTGTTGTACCTTGATTGAGACAGGGCTTAGGAAGGTTTATGGATATCATCCCCAGGTTAGATTTGTCATGGTAGAGCCTCGTTAGACAATACTGTTATATGGTACATATGGCCGGTTCATATCTTAATTTGCTTGGTGGGACTCTTTTTGTCTTCTCTGTGTTACACAGGGATGAAGTATATATTCATGGTGTAATTGCAAAGGTCCTGTACCCACATATTGTTCATTGTACTTTATTAAAATTGTCCATAAGATACGCTCTAAAAGCCTTTGCTGTTCATCAATTTAGAGATAACAATAAACTATGGCCTTACACTTATTGCTTTCACCCTGATGTCTGCTCCAATACTTGATGTGTGATGCAAATGCTGTTTGCACAGCCACCCCAGATCATTATTTTTACTCATAAGCCCTCAGCCTGCTGTGAACAATGATCCCAAAATCACAGCTGCAGCAGCCATACAGGAACGTCCTATGGTTCTTAAATGGATAAAGAAACCTTACAAGTTAAAATGTTGCTTAAATGAATGTATTCCTAGCTAACCCTTTATTAACCCTTAGCTAACCCTAATCAGCCCTTATTAACTCCTTCCTCTCCTTCTACCTTTAGCTATTATTTTTCTGGTGATTTTTTCATTTCTATTTTTTACCAATAATATTTCTTTTTTTGCTTTCATTCATTTTGTTTGTTACTTATTTCAGTGTATAACAAGAAAATTTGCTAAATTTGACAAACAATGCCTTCTCTTCATTCCTAAATAACTGTGTTATACTTTGCACCAGAAATATAATGTTAATGTCATTGTAAATGTGATAAATTAAAGAATAAAATGTATATCTTTTATTTACCCTAAAACTACTTTTTTAAAAAAATCTAACAGTTCAAACAGAAAAATAAATATTCGATTTGATTACACCTTTTGGGTTTTGATTCCACAGAAAATGTATATCATTTTTGCCAAAAAAGCTTATCCTCCCCGCCCCCCAAAAAAAGTAACATACTGTATATATTACTTTGTTAAGGAATGACAAAGTTATCACCACATAAACAGGCCCATAGTGGCAGCGTAAAAACTGCTCTGCTCCATAATAAAGGGTATACAAGTTCAAAGAGCTGAAGTAGTTAATACTCAATTACTTTTGACTGATTTACTACCTCTGCTGAAAGTCTGTTTCAAGCATCCACTACTCTTTTGATAAAATAATACTAACGTTACTCTTGAACTTTCCTCCTGCTACTTTGAAGTCATGAACCCGTGTTCTTGTTCTTAGCTTTCTGTTAAAGAGCAACTAAAGGACATTTCTGGGGTTTTTTTTTGTATAGAGCGCAGAGGGATTAGAACACCCGTCAGGTTTTTATTGCTTTCTTTGTCCCCATTAGGGACATTCACCCTCTCTATTTGTCCTGGTGACCGTTATCACGGGCCGTAAAAGAAAATCTCAAATTTCGGAATGTCATCAGAACTGGAATAGATGGGAACTATTTCAATGGCAACACTGCTGACCACCAGATTCCTCTTTTTTGGATGGATTTCCTCTCACGTCCTGTTGTGGCTATTGAAAAGGAAGAGAGGGGAAACCTTCTGAATGGGATACAAAGTGCAGGGGTTATAACCCTCCTTGCTCTATCCAAAACTAAAAAAAAAAGTTTGGCTTTAGTTCTACTTTAATATTGCCCTCTTGAATCCTGTTCACACCTTTGAAGGTTTCACCCCTTTCCTTGAGGCTTAACATATTTAGTTTCTCCGGTCTCTCCTGATACTTGATTGGGGGTCATGAATGTCACCTGTAGAAGCTCACACAAAGAGAGGGAGAACCTACAATCTTAATCTGTGCACATTTGTATCTTTGATGGATTGTAAAGCAATTCTTCCAAAACTGGATTGCTCCGTTGGAGTTGATCAAATTAGGGTTCCAAGCCTTGCGGGGTTAAGGGGCTCTGGGACCCTGGCAGATCCACTGAGGTTGTGGCTGTCCACATGAAGCCCTATGATAAATGCAGAGGATGATTGTTGCTGAAGCAGTGTCCAATTTGTGTATGGTAGTGATGCTTTTTAATCCAGAATCCCATGGCTATAAGCCGGCAACTTCATCACGTTTCCCCATATATTCCAAGACACATAAATATTACCATAACATAGACCACTGCATTTTCGATATGACTAAGTATAAGTACATACACAGATAACAATTCTTGTCATGTGGAGAAATCTATTTTACTTTAGAAATTGCTGACCAGCTTTTACAATGCACAGTGTTTACTTCAGATCTCCAATGTTGTTGTCTGAAAGACAGAGACTGCTTGCAGGCAAAATCTTTTCATTGACAAGGTAAACAGCCTGTTATTACCTAGCATCTGCAGTTGGTAAAAAGCCGTCAAATTGTTACAGGAAAGTGGAGATGTATCATTATAAATCCATAAAACACACGTAGCACCGCCGCTGCCTGTGTTACATGGCTGGTGACAACAATCCATCCAGACTCTACTCACCTTCTCTTCTTTCTTGTGGGAAATGTGTTTTTTTCCTCATCTACGATGGCCAGACTTTCCCTGATCTGTTTCTCCATAGCCACCCACAGATCCTGATATTTTCTGCATTATATATAAAAAAAACATTAGTACATGTAAGGATGTCATTGTGTTATTTCATACCCACCTATCTGCTGGTAGTGAAAGAGTGACATTATTTAACGTACACCAATGTGAAACAAATCTACACCACTTCTGCAAAAACTAGAATGACTAAAATAGATTAAACAACAGTTTATCCAATAATATGAATATCATTAATATGAATACATGAAGCCCCCGTTTTGTACAGATGGCCATTAAGCAAATACATATCAATATAAACATTTGTATACATCAATATGACCTTAAAGTTTAACCCCAGGCAAATAGCTACATACACAGTTCAAAACCATACATGGGGGCTGTTTTACCATCCAAAGTGAAGAAGCATGTAGTAAACTAACAGTGAAGAAGCATGTAGTAAACTAACAGTGAAGAAGCATGTAGTAAACTAATAGTGAAGAACCATGTAGTAACCCAACAGTGAAGAAGCATGTAGTAACCCAACAGTGAATACCTGAAGAATCTGATTAGATGCAGGCATTGTTCAGGTATTTTGAGAGCCAGCGGGGCCGACTAGGAAGATACTGAAGCTTGGCCCAGCGGGAGATTCCTCCATTAACACAGTTTAGAATAGATGGAGGAATCTGTTGCACTTTTGCCATCTGACCATAGACAAACTGCAGATAATCTATAGCTGTATGGCCAGTTTAACAGTGAAGAACCATATAGTAAACTAACAGTGAAGAATCATATAGTAAACTAACAGTGAAGAACCATATAGTAAACTAACTAGAGCTGCAGCTAACGATTATTTTCAAAATCGATTAGTTAGCCGATTATTAAGTTCGATTAATCGGTTAATCGGATAAAGAATAAAATACATTTTAAAAAATGGCTCCAGTGATGGGACTTCTAGTTTGTATTGAGATTGCAGTCCATCACAGGAGCAAGCTTGGAGCAGTGGAAGTAAAAAAGGAAAAAAAAGTGTGGTGTGCAATATAGTCAAATGAAAAGTGTAAAATTATACAGCAATGAATGCAGAATACCACCAGCTATAGAGGAATACAATAAATCCAAGCAATAGTACATTATAGCTGTCGGTATTCTGCATTGCGATGTATAATGTACTATTGCTGGGGTTTTTTTTAGTCCTCTATAGCTGGTGGTATTTACACTTGAACATAGCTATTGGTCACCCAGGGACAAGCACTGCAGTGGCCTCAGGGCTTTTGAATGTCTACACTAGGGAGACTTTTCCAGGTAAATAAAATACATTAACTACATTAAACGCACATATAATCTGATTGGAAGATATTCTGGCCACAGGGTCGCTTAAATTAATTTATCCAACCCACAGCTAAAATTATCTTTCTTGCATTATTAATCCATCAACCCATCATATCATGAAGCGTCCTTATTTGTCTGAAGAAAATAGGTCACCAGCACTCCATAAGTTAAAATGAATGAGTCCTTTTAATGGACAATGATGTCACAGAAATCCAACATGAGCCGACGTTTCGGGGCCACACAGGGTCCCTTCTTCAAGGCAAGAGATGTGACCTTCAAGGGTACATTAAACAGAGTCCTAATTAGTTTAATGTACCCTGCCTTCAAGGTCACATCTCTTGCCTTGAAGAAGGGACCCTGTGTGGCCCCGAAACGTCGGCTCATGTTGGATTTCTGTGACATCATTGTCCATTAAAAGGACTCATTCATTTTAACTTATGGAGTGCTGGTGACCTATTTTCTTCAATCTTGTGTTTTGCACGGTGCCATCCGTGAAGTTACTTCGAGCACCATTTATTTGATTGTTGGCCGGGACTGCTGAAAGGTGTGCGGAGGGCACCTCCATCAATTGCATCTTATTTGTCTGAACACAGCTCATGTACAGAGCAGGAAATGCACTTCAATAACATTCAGCAATCCCAGGTGAATCCTTCACTGTTAAATGGGTAATTCAAAATTAATATCCAGAGGAAAAAGCGTACGGACAATTATCGTTTCTTGTTAGGAATCCTGAGGAGTGTTGACATTGTGTTATCAGCCCAAGGATAGATTTTTTTTTTTCACCCCTGAAACAATACAATGCGATTGGATTTTGCTAGCAGAAACTGACAGGCGCTTACCTCTTCCTGCAGCTGTCAGCTCCATCCTCAATGCTGCCAGTTTCTGGAACTCTGTCTGAATATTTATGGCCCAGTGAATGGAGCAGGGAAGAGATTTCACTCTCCGAGCTCGTGGGAAGCAATAGGCTAAGCACTCGCTGCAGCATGCCCTCTGGTACCAAGGATCGTTTAGTCAGATAAGCTGCCAATCGGATGCCCTGGAGGGAATTAAAGGCACCATGTCAGACAGTCACTGTCAGGTTAAATTAATGACCACTTATTTGTCAGGGTGATAGCAGTGAATAACAGATATTAGGAACATAAGTTTGAAGTTTTACTAGGAATTAGTTTAGAAATGTGAAATATTCTGTGAAGGAAGAACTCCATAATATTTGAATATGTCCATACAGCAAGTCACTTGCAGGAGAATATGTCCCATCCAGCGTTTCTTCATATATTTCTATAGAAGACCCTATACAGAGTAGGAGTTCAAAATGCTATATCAAGTACCTTATAAAGACTTTAAATGGGCAGGAACAAAAGTAGCTTGGACATGCAGGGAGTGGGAAAAGAACTTTGGGATAGCAGTAGGGGACTGAGCCCTGACAAATGTTATCCAGGAATGAGAAATCCATTATTGGTTGAAGGTGTTTTTTAATTTCATGTCAGCAACTTTATTTTTAGCAGCTGTTTGCTGTAAAGGTTACCTTCCTGTTTAGTGTAAATCCATTGACTGTCATTGTCCTGGCAGGGTACATTAAACTAATTAGGACTCTGTTCTTCACTTGAAGAGCCAATTTGTTCCTATCATCTTGCCTGCGGCTGCCACTAGCAGCAGATCCTGGTATACTGGATCCTTACTCATCCTAATGCAGAACGCCTCTCTACTGGTAGACAGGAGTGGCTTCTTCGGTAGCCCAGCAGGATGTAAATAGAAATTACAAGGCTGCAGGCCAAGATGGGGAGTCCCATTTACGTGTTGTGCATCCTGCAGAGAAAATGACAACAAAAGGATCTGCACTATAAGCGCAGTAATCCTTTAAATGCTATTACATTTTCTTTGCTTAAAGCATGCCTGTGCTGTGTGACCCTATGCTGAGTTTCCCCAACGTCGACTAAGGGAGCGCGCATAGCTGTTCCTAGGGAGACCAAATGGGGCTTCTGTCAATTCAAGACCCTGTAGGAGCGACAAAAGCATGGCTTCAAATGGAGTGCTTCTGTTGTGTCTGTGTGGCGCATCCAGAAGTGTGCACATAACAGGATCGCTCAAGGGGACCCTGCAATCCAGCGGAGCCACCTTAGAGGAGGAAATGATATAGCATGGGCGTTAAAGGACAACTCTGGGCAGAATAGAACTTAACCAGTGCAGCTGGGCAACGCCTGCACTGCACGGGTTAAGTGCTCCTTTAATACAGTTTTTAAATACAGTTTTCTTAGAAATAATATCATTTTTCCTTGTTTTTGCTCTTTGTCATTGTACTGCCTCTATAAACCGGCGTTTTATGCCTTGGGCAGTGACATTTCTTTCAATGTCAACATACTGAGCCATTAGTGAATAGTACCTGGTTGTATAGTCTTTGCATTGCATATACTTCAGCTCTTTCCTCTTGATCTTCCACCAGTGCATACTCCATTTCCTCTTTCTGCATTCTAAAGAAAGCATAAATAAATAAATAAATATCATCATCTCAAGCAGAATAAGTGACCCACGTTCATCCTGCTGTACACTCCACTGTCAACGAGAATATTGGTCCTCTCCCTTGAGAATACAGATACTGATGGACTGACCAAGAAAATGCTATAATGCTTCTAAAAAGGCTTACATATCTAAGTAAGGTTTTGTGTATTTCCGCACAACACCACAGCTGGAGTCGGCGCCCAATATTATTATTATACAGGATTTATATAGCACCAACAGTTTGTGCAGCGCTTTACAATATAAGGAAGACATTACAATTACAATACAATTCCAGACAAGACAGTAAGGAGAGCCCTGCCCGTGAGGGCTCACAATCTAAAGGGAGGGGCAAGTGATTCATGAGGAGGTAGCTGTGTGGGGATGAATTGTTTGAGAATGTGATAGTTCAGTGGTCAGGTTGAGGTGGGGTGGGCTTCCTTGAAGAGATGAGTCTTAAGGGATCGCCTAAAGGCAGTCATAGTGGGAGATAGACGGACAGGTTGGGGTAGAGAGTTCCATACGATGGGAGAGGCTCTAGTGAAGTCCTGGAGGCGAGCATGGGAGGAGTTGATGAGGGAGTTGGAAAGCAGAAGGTCCTTTGAAGAGCGGAGGGGACGGTTAGGGTGATACTTTGAAACAAGGTTTGAGATATAGCCAGGGGCAGAGTTGTGGACGGCTTTGTAAGTGGTTGTCTCCTTAAGCTCCATCTCCATAAGCTCATATAAATTTAGCTTTAGCATGCAGTTGACAGAAAACATTTAAGGGGTTATTCACTTAGCTCCTAAAGACAGCCGAGTGAATGACCGAGCCGAAAGTGAAGTGAGCCGAAAGCTGTTCAGCAATTCACTTCAGCTCAGTGCGGCTGAAGTGAATCGCTCCTTTGTTCCCTTGATGAGATTCCTTTCATGACATTTATACTATATGAGCAAAATTTTGTAGACACCTGACCATCACACCTATATGAGCTTGTAGTACATCCCATTCCAAAACCACAAGCATCAAATTGGAATTAAACAACAAAAATAAAACAAATGATAGGAAGAAACTTTTTCCTCTTTGTGTGAACAGCAGCAATCAGCAAGAGCGACATATAATAGATAAAGTACCACAGCTGCTTCAATCACTTCTGCTGCTTTTTCTTGGTTTGTTGCCATGACTCACCTATTAACATTTGTAACAGAAATCATGAGTCATGGAACACAATCTCAGAAAGAGCTTGTTGTCTTAAAGGGAGGGGAGCAAGTGTCAGGACAAGTGGCATATGACTGGCAAGAAAGTCCTGGAGCAAAAGGCAAAAGAATAGGCAAAAGGACGGCATGACAGGGTGGGCAGGCAGTCAGGTAGAGAAAGGGTTAAGTTAGCCTAAGGAAGGTGCTCGGGTGTCACTTACCGTGATTGGCTGGGTCAAGTGGTCCAGGAGGAGCATCCAGGGTGGTTAGAGCAGGAGGAGGGGTGATCCAGGCAGTTGGGAGTCAGCACAAGGTCAGTTCATTTTCTCTGGCCTATTTGCTCAATTACAAGCAGCTGCAGATGCTAATGGCTCTGCATGGCTGCAGACTTAAATTCAAAGCTTGCTGCAGCCTTCTCAACCACAGCAAGGACGTAGGGCACCACGCGCTAGGCGGTCCAGGCCTCCTGAGTGCTTTTCCCCTGCTCATTCACAAGTTTCTGGGGGCTCAGCGCCGCCTTAGGAGCCCCTCTAGGGACCCTCCAGAACCTCCATCTAAGCGCACTCCTGCGCTTCCAGATGCTAGGCCTGGGAGGAATCCTCGGCGTAGGCAGAGCCCAAAAGAGCAGGGTGCTTCTTCTATGCCTCCCATCCCCCCCTCCCGCCCTTCACACACTCAGGGTAGGCTTTCGGATTCCTTGTTCTCTGACCGTCGTTCCTCCGTTCGCGCGTAATCTAAAATCTGCCCTTACTTATCCCTCCATTGTTACTCAGAAACTGGCTAAGGAGGTGAGTTTAGGTCGCATGGGGGGCCCCTTTCCTTCCCCCCCGTTACCCAGGTTGGTAGTTTCGCCACTAGGGGTAGTTCCGAAGAAGGAACCTAACAAGTTCCGCCTCATTCATCATTTATCCCATCCCAAAGGGGGGTCAGTTAATTACGCTATTCACCCTTCCATGTGTGCGGTTTCCTACACTTCCTTTGACGCGGCTGTCGCCTGGGTCCGGAGGTTCGGGAAAGGTTCGCTGATGGAAGAGAGGTCAGAAATAGTTGTAGGCGGTCTCTGCTGTTACTTCCCAATGTTGTCCCTGAGTCGGTGGGTTGCGGCTAGGGGCCAGTGGTTTAAGGGGGTAAGCAGAGATCTTCGGTGGTTGAGTAAGTGGTGCCTGCGCAGACCTCACGCCAAAGAATAGGTTACAGAGAAATTGTTGTTTATGGTGATAATTAATGTTTGAACTGAAATTATATATTTAAAGATATTTTATAATAAACGGCTGCTACAGCCATTTTATATCCAACCTGGTGTGGTCCATTATTTAAGGTGGGCATGGGTCATGGAGGGGTTAAGGGTTGTAGTCAGCAGTGGGTGGTTGGGTCATAGGACGGCTGTGCCTTACCCTGTCAAGTGTCAGGACATTTTGTATTGAGCACGTTCTGAAAATCTGCACTGTATTCAGCTAGGGAAACAATATCATAAAGGGATAAGGTAAATTATGTACATTTTATGAGTTTAAAGTATTATTGCACTTTTTGGTAGTAATGAAATTGACGTCATTGTGGCCATTACTTACCTGTCACGGTAGAGATTCGTTACGTTTTTCCGTCTGTTAAGTGCCTTTCTCAGTGTTGCTGATAACGGCATACCATCATCTTCACAAGATACCTCAACAGTTACATGGGCCTGCTCTTCACCTTGCACTTTACTGGCTGTTGTTTCTCTTTCTTTTAATGTCTCCAAATTCTTCTCCATCTCTCTGATTTCCTAAATGTGCAAAATGAAAGGACATATTTACTTTAGGAGGGAACTGAAATCAAAAAGTAAAGATGTGCTTTGTTATAGGGGACAGGTGGAAATGTTAACTGTGCCTAAGCAGTACCCCGAAAAATGTATCTTTTGTCTGGAATTCCTTCTAAAAAACAGCAGTGTACTTCCCGGTAGGGGAGTGTGTCTAGGCACTCTTGTGCGTACAGGCTGTAAATCTGTAGTGTGAGATCTCAGGCACTGCTTCCTCTGACTGCTATTGATAATATTTGGTGATGTTACTGCAGTGCTTCTCAATATTTTTCTTGCTGAAGGTTCAGAAATGAGAAAACAAAAGACTGCTTCTACCAAGATGGTCATCTCCACTGCAGAACAAGGCCTAATGGGGAAAGATAAGTTGCAGGGAGACCACAGGCAATATTGGTGGCGAACACTTTGTCCTCTGCCTACCTTGTTTTGGGCACAGATTCCAGAGTTTAATCTTTTTTAAATTATGGCTTTGTAGAACACTAAATCAGAAATTGAAAAAGTCAGTTATAAACTGGAGAAAGATTTAATTCAATCTCTTTATACTCGGAAGCCATTTCACAGTGATGGCTTAGAGTGCTTCCTGGGTGCTTAGGCTGGTTTATATCTGTGATTGTGCTGTCACTCCAGGAAACAATGGGGCTCCCGATGCTGTGAGATATGATTTTCACTGACTCCATGTGATCAAGATTTCACTAAACATGTTGTGGATTGAGCTAGGGTAAGGGCAAGTTAGAGAAATAATCATGAGCTAAAGAGTTTTATATTTTGACCTTTGTTTTTCCTAGGCAACCCTTCACATGTCCAGGCTTTACAGTAGGGGTCTCAAAGTATCGAGGCGGTACTATGTGGCCCGAAACCAGCTGACAAGTCAGGCACATGATCATGGACCGTGTACCTGATTTGCGGGAGCAGCTACATGGTCTGCATCTCGTCGGATGCGGACCAAATAGCAGCTTCTCTGTGCCGTCACTCAGATCATTTTGGCCAGCGCTCTGAAATCCTTCAGTGAGCTCTGGCCAAAAGGATGGATTAGTAAGGTCTGCACCAGGATCATGTCTCCTCTCTGCAAAAAAGTAAGGAGGAGAGGGGGTTATTTGTTTTTTTTTTATATGTGGATGTGCAGGCGGTGAACAGGGTTGTATTATTATATATGTGCAGGGGGGTGTGTGTATTATTTAATATGTGCAGGGGGATGTAATATTTAATATGTGCATTGTAGCATAACTGGTATGTGATATGATGACATGTGGTTAGGAATCAATCACTGTCCCTGGACGCATGGATTGTGCATCCAGGGAGAGTTTTCTAACGGCATGTAATCATATCACATACCATTACATGTGGTGGGCAGGTGTTTACATGCAGCTGCTGTCACTTTATCATTAACAAGTAACAGCAGCTGCTTGTAAATGACAGCTTAGGGATTCCTGCTGCAGGAAAACGTAAGTTCCTAATGCAGGAATCCCTAATCGCACCTAAAATTACAGATGTGAATGGGGCCTTATTGTGAGTATATTAGTGTCTCTAGAACCATACCGGATATAGTTACATTTTATTTTGAAGTATGAAATTTGGCAAGAAAATGGGGGAAAAAAAAGAAATTAGAGAAAAAAAGATCTTCAAAGCCATTTCCATGTGATGATAAAACTGCAAAACATTGAAGAGCAATGTAAACATTTATATAACACAAGGAGACTCGGGTATCATTTCTGATTCTCCTTAAGTAGACCAAGTGATCTAGTTAAACTCTTATTTCCTTCTGATTCGTGGCCATCCTCTGGGTCTAAATTGCCGATTTCAGAAAGGATGACAGCTTGAACGGTGCTGTAACTGTGCAGACTGACTGACTTGCATACTTATATGTCACACTTACAAAGAAAAAAGGACATAAAAGAATTATCAAACTACAGAGGTTCTCAATTTATTTCAGTTTATTAGACACACTCATGCAGTAGGCATAAAAAGTAATACCTCAAACTCTTTTCTGTGTAGTAATAGTAACACCTCAAACTCTTTTCTGTGTAGTAATAGTAACACCTCAAACTCTTTCATGTGTAGTAATAGTAACACCTCAAACTCTTTTCCTCTGTAGTAATAGTAATACCTCAAACGCTGTTCTGTGTAGTAATAGTAACACCTCAAACTTTTTCATGTGTAGTAATAGTAACACCTCAGACTCTTTTCTGTGTAGTAATAGTAACACCTCAAACTCTTTTCTGTGTAGTAATAGTAACACCTCAAACTCTTTTCTGTGTAGTAATAGTAACACCTCAAACTCTTTTCTGTGTAATAATAGTAATACCTCAAACACTTTTCTGTGTAGTAATAGTAATACCTCAAACTCTTTTCCTCTGTAGTAATAGTAATACCTCAAACGCTTTTCTGTGTAGTAATAGTAACACCTTAAACTCTTTCATGTGTAGTAATAGTAACACCTCAAACTCTTTCATGTGTAGTAATAGTAACACCTTAAACTCTTTCATGTGTAGTAATAGTAACACCTCAAACTCTTTTCTTTGTAGTAATATCAATACCCCATACACTTTTTTGCAGTACTAATAACAATAATGCTTTCCACAAGCTCCATCTTTTGATTATAAAGCTATTTGCCAATTATTTGGCAAATATTATTTATTGTGATTCCTGCATAGTGCTTTGTAGAAGAGATATTGAAAATATGCTGAATGTTTTAAAATTAATGGCAAATATTCAAACCCTGTCTGTAAAAAAATACACTGTAACACGCCCTCTTATGGGGGTATATTGGCCAAAGGTCTCATCACATGCTGGTTTGTAGTGCAGTAAATTAACCAAGCCTAAGAAAGTAGACATAACAGGGTTTCCTTTAAGAGATCCATGCAATTAAAAAGGTTTGCTGCTCTGAAAATTTGACATTTTTTTTTACATCTAAGGGTATGCCATACGTAAGAGAGCAGTAGGTAAGGATTCTGGAATATCCAGACTGCACAACTCAGAAGCTTGTAGACTGTTGCCCATTGCAAAGAAATTATGTATGGCATGCAAGGCCAATACACTAATAAACTTGCTACAAGTCTCAAGATGCACTTTATATATGTAAAATATATCTCTGGTTGGCTTTGTTTGTATGACCAGTGTATCAAGTCAGATATTTTAAAGTCCACAGATTACAGAGATGGGTGAAAAGCAAAAAAGTTGTCACTTAATCCAAGGGCTGGTAATCACTGATGTATTTACCAAGTATTATATTTCCTGACAGTTTAGATTTTTGTGTTCAGAAACGCTACATCAGGTCAGAAGAAGACAGTCCATAACTTACCCTCTGTTGTGAAATTACAGGTCTCAGTATAGGTCTGAAGAAAGAAACTAGTTCTCACCTGATTAAGTGCGAGTAGAAGCTGTTCATACTCTGATGTGTTGTGCATTGTGGACTTGGTCTCCTCTTCCAATAGAAGAGATTGCAGCTGTAGAAGAGCTGAGTGTACTGCAAAACTCTTTGAACTGCTATTAACAATCTGGAACTGTAAAGAAGTCAGATATTCCCCCAGCTTATACTCTCTAGCCTTCAGCTGATGTACTCGCTGCAGCAGCAACTCTCCACGCACCTGTAAAATAGGTAGAGAAGACTGAGAACTGTTTACGTTGACATTATTTGGTTAAACATACTCAGTAATCAGACAAATAGATCTTCTCCCTGCAGTATTAGTGAGCTCACACCTACCATGTGGAACGACATGCGACTTGTTTTAGAACAGATTGCCACTGATGGATTTAAGCACCAGGCAAAAATCATAATCAGAACCAGAATTCCACACATAGGACCCACCTACAAGTCCAGTCCTAATATTTTAGCTGCAAGAACAGTTTAATGCGCACCTGTCAACCTATCCTACCCCCAAATAATGATAATGTTCTCATCCACCTGATGGGTGACAACGGGAATAAAATGCATGCTGAAGTTCTGCCTCCCTTTGTCCCCTGCTCTCTCTGTCAGTCTCCTGACCAGAAATTGGAGGAGCAACTGCACATTGATATGGCCATCCCTTTCTCTCCCTTTCTAAAGGCATGTTTACACTTTCAAATTGACACTAAGCTCAGTAGTTAAATCTTAAAAATACATTCAAGTTCCCTAACTATTAACAAAAATGTATCTTATTTGTGTATCACTCGGTTGTAGATCCTCCAATCATCTCTGAATTGGTGCTGACACTGTTCTTCCTTCTGGAGGGTGGATACTTTTGTTCCCCATGGTTTGTGTGTGTGTGCTGTAAAGTAGCAACCCATCCAAGCTCGCTCCCGTGGTGGACTACAATCTCATGCTTAGTTTACTCATTTTTATTTGATATTGTAGTTTATCACAGGAGTGAGCCTGGAGCGGTGGCTACTTTACAACACACACAGGGACTTTCTTCTCTCTGTTCACTGCAATGTCTTCTTCAGCATCTTGTAAATTGTAAATATCAGTGCAACACACATCATAATATTAGGCCTTGGCACAGAGTAGGCATGCACCAATACCGTTTTTTCGGTATCGAGTACCAATATCTATCTTTTGGTACTCGCCGATACCGGTACTTCTGCTAGCATGGAGTTGGATTCCAGGGCAATCGGGTAATGACTTGCTGGCCGGCTTCTTGATTGGTCAGGAAGCCGCCTCGATGCTGATTGACCAGGAAGCTGGCTTTCCAGCCAATCAGAATGGAGCTGGCCAAACAGCATGGCGCCAGCTTCCTGGCCAATCAAGAAGCCGGCGGCATGTTCCTTCACGGCACTGCCAGTCAGAGAAAATCTCCCTCTGACCGGAAGTTTCAGTATTGGGGGTAAGTATCGGAGTATTTGGGTGAGTACAAGTACTCGCCCAAATACTCGCTATCGGCACCGATACTGATACTAGTATCGGTACATCCCTAGAACAGAGCTTTCATATTTGCATACATGACCCCTTTAATAACCTTCTCTTCCAAGCCCTGAACCAAAACCAAGCATCAGCAAAACCCAAGAGGGCTTGTTCCTGCACACGATTAAAAGGGTCTTATTTCCTGAACCGAGACTTATTTTCATACAGCTAGAAAGTGCAAATCAAAAGTAAACATTCATGTAACTGGATAAGTCTTCACCGTCTGATCTGGTCGCATCTCATTTTCGTTACCTGCTTAATCTTGTCATCTGTAATTTGTGCTTCATAAATCAAGACTTTATCCTCTGCAGATTTCTTCAGGATCTCCGCCGCTCTGTCCTGAGGATGCTTCATTGTCTTTGAACCTGACTGAATAAAGAAAAAAATAATAATAAGCAATTGCAAAGGAGCTTATTCCATGGGAATAAAGCAGGCTATGTAAATAAAACATATTTGAGCTTGAATGAAGAAAGCTTCTGCACTGAAATTACACTGCTGAAAAATGAAGGCAAAGCGTTGACTACTGGCAATAATATGTGTCGGTATTCCTTTACCGTCTCCACAAGAGGCACAGGGGAGATCAACAAGAAAGATGGACTCCCATTATCGGCGTTACAAAAAACATTACCGTCATTACTGATGTTTTTGAACCATTAATGCCAAAGTAGATTTTAGGTTTTGGAGATGTGACCGTTTGTATGAAAATCGTGCTTCTGTTTCTTATTCTAGTTTGAAATGCACATAAATAAATACAGATATAAAAAATCCCATGTATTTCTTTTTACAAAGGTATATGCACCTCTATATGCCTGCTTGGCACTCAGGATGTTGTGTTTTATACTTTATCTTTACCACAGTTCCACTTTAAAAAACAACTTTACCCCTGCACTGCAAGTGTTAAGTGCTCATTTGGTCTGGGGTGTAAAATAGAAAAGACATAATCACCTGAACCTCTGTCCCGCCTGGTTGCTAGACCGATCCCTACAGCCTCTCTCCCCCAGGCTCCGGCAGTGGAATGTCCCTCGGCATCCTCACCTCTAATGCAGTGTATTATACATGATGACTCACAGGTCCTTAGCTTGCCCGCGCAGAGGGGTAGAAGAGGCTGTGAAAGCTGGTCCAGCAGCCAGGCAGGACCGAGGTTTGTGCGAGTATATCTTTTTTCATTTCACAACCTAGACTAACGCTCGAAGTGTGGGGGGAGACCCGCTGCAAGGGTTACGTTTTATTCTCATCATGGCTGGCTCCGCCCAGTTGTTATTCATTGGCTGGCCCTGCTAGAAGACTTTGGCAGGTGGCGGCCAAAAGGAAACAGTTGGGCGGAGCTAGCTATCACTGCTAGCTCCGTCCAATTGTTTTTCTTTTGCCAGCATCTTTGCCAACATTTAAAAAACTATTTAAATTTTTTAAATTTTCCTATTTTCTTAAATTTTTTTAATTATTTTTCAACTTTTTTTTTATTCATTTCACTCTTTTTCTATTCTGCTCGGTACTGAGCAGAATAGCCGATCCGAATGCCACTCGGCGGCATTCGGCTATTCACTTACTGCCATTTGTATGAGAATAGGAGCAAACAGCAGCGAGTGAGCTGCCAGAGCTTCGGCTCAGCTGATCCAGATGTTGGATCGGCTGAGTTGAACTCCTTCTGCACTTCTGCTGACCAATGGCAGCCGAAGAAAGCCGATGTACTGCTGATTTTAGCCGATGTATGGCTGAAGTCAGCCGTACAAGCCAGAAGTGAATAGCCGAACAGCATTCGGCTCACTTCACTTTGGCTGGGTTAGTCACTCGGCTGCCTTCGGGAGCTTTGTGAATAACCCCCTAGTATGTATTCCTATTACAATGCTGATGTTATAACAGGATAGTATATGCAGGGACTTTGCAACTCCTTTAAGAGAAGCACACTGATCAGTGCATCAAGACAAAACCATGTGTACAACCAAAAAGTCCGCTCCTGGTTTTTGACATTGTGATGCTTTTCTGTCATACTGCTTGTGACCTCAGACTACCTTCTGGATTTTAGCTATCACTTGTCCTGACCTTGTCTCATCACCCATCTCTACTCTGTGCCACTGGTCTCGATCTCTATCTTAAGCATGACTTTGCTTGAATACCATAAACTCACAAAGGCCAGCTTGGTTCTTGGACATCTTCTCTATTCAACTGATTTGCTCACCTGCCAAGAAACTCAGCTGTCCCCAGTGGTGTGCTCCTGGGGACTCCAACTTTTAGAGGAGAAAGTTCTACTGCAGGTGAATGAGGCATCACAAATCATTGTTCTGAGACTAAAAATAAACTGATGACCATCCAGCAATGTCAATGTTCACTAACAGTGAGGATTGATGATACCACGGGAGGGTTCTATACACAACAAGCCTACGCTCTGAGCACAATTCTTCTAATTAATACATAGTAGCTATGCAATAGCCCTTGTGACACCAGTCAATACTCGTCCAGAAAATAGAGAGAGATGGATAATGAAATCAGACACAAAAGCCGCATTGATGTCAGTGTAGTTGAATTGTAAAATGCAGACGGGTGCCATTGATTAGATCGTCTGTAATCAGATGGCGAGAGGTCGGAAGAAAGAAAACAGATGAAGTGTAATTAGCAAATAAGAAACAAATGAAATGTCAGCAGGTAGGAAGCCGGGATTTCAGATTACATTGCTATGTAATCAGATTTTTCTTGGTTCTCAAATATCTCAATGGAAAGCATAACTTTCTGTGGCCTGTGGGACCTGGAGAAAGAGCAGGAAGTAGGTTTATCAAAGTCAGTTAACAAGAGGTCTCGAGGCTGCATATTTCATCTAACAGGCAAGCAACTGCAACATAACTCACTTACAAGTCAGAAAACCCAATTACAATGGAAAATCTCCGGGGAAATGTTAATGAAAGTTGATTATTTTTCTTGTGATTAATATATTTTTGGCTCATGTAATTAGGTAGCACAACATCCGGTAACTGCAGGCAAAATCCAATAACTCAAAACCTATAACTATCTTCCAGATTTTTGCTCAGTGTAGTAACCCATGGCAACCAAATGCAAGTGGCTGCTATGGGTTACTAAACCTCACATTACCTTACTAAGGAAGCCAAGTTATCAGCAGGTAATTTCTGCAGAAGAAAAAGCAGCTTTCATTTGTTGACTTTGAAGGGAATATAAAGTGGTTTGGTCTTTATTATGGTTAGTATTGAAAAAAAAAATAAAGGTCAGGTAAATATGAAATGTTGGATATAAATATTTTGTGCTGTGATATCCAGCCAGCAGGTGGAGCATTATCTCCTTTTCACACTATTCATTTTCTACTTACCAGCTGTTGCAATAAGTCTGTTTATATTGCTCAATAGCTCAAGTTTAAACTTAAATGAGTGAGAGCAGCCACCAGTTCCCCTCCCTATTGCTATTTCAGAGACAAAGCTGAATGCAAACCCTATATTAAATGGATAAATGCTTTTCTTTCATTTTCAAATAAAGGATACACACAGTAAACTACTCACCATTATACCGCATTCAACCAACCAGGTTGCTTGATAGACATGTGCACACTAAAACATGTTGTTAGCAACTAAAGCAGTGGAGTGGACCTGAGGGGCTGGATTGCTTGAGAGTCATTAGCAACTCTCAAGCAACCAGAAACTACAGTTAGCTAACATCTACTGATCCCCAAGGGTGCTGGATAACTGGGAGCTTACTATATATGTAAATACATACACATACTGTATATATTATATATACAAACATATAGTTTAAAACATATAGAACACATTAGTTTATAGTGTTATAAATTAAAAAGAAAAAACAAAGCAAATCATAAAATGAACTAAAACCTATTCCCTTTGACCTTTTGACAAATGCATACTGTGGATAAACTTTCTCATGCACAGTTCCTATGATGAGAGAACATTAAGCTACATTCCACCTATGAACTAGCAGCAGACACCTTTGTGTAGAGCTAGTTTTGAGACACCACTGTTACCGACAGTTTCAGGTTATAGACTAACCATTGGGAACCAACTGCTAGCATTCTTACAAAGTGAAGAGAGAAGCTGATTGGTTGCCCTGGGCAATTGCTCCAGATTTTGTCGGCTCCAGTTTGGATAAATTCCCCTCATGGAGTACAGTGGCTTAGTGACTAGCACTGAAGCCTGCAGTGCTGAGATCTTGGGTTCAAATTCAACAGGACCTTATTCACATAGAGTATATGTGTTTTACCCCAAATTTAGGTAGCTTTCCTAAACATAATCTGTTTTATTCCCATAATTAAAATTCAGATCATATTAGTACTATAGTCAGTGTGGATGCCTCTTGAGCTCCAATGAGGCAGGAAGACATGTAAATGCACTCTGCAAAATATTTGAGAAAATTGCATATAATAAACAGTTGGATTGTGGAGGAGAAGAAAATGTCAGATCTTTGAAGTAATCAAGAAAAGATTACCTGTCGTTCAGTTTCCAGTAGCCTGTGCTCTATCTTCTGCATCTCTATACTCCTCCAGTCACTCTGATACTTCTGCAGCAGAACCCTTCCCTGGATTTTAGGAAGAGCTAGAGTATTGTCCATTTGGGAGAAGCCACAGAGAAACTCTTGCTGTATCCTATGTACATCTTCTTCAGACAAACACAAAGGTAACAGGAGAACCTTCCTGCTTGGACACAAATCACACACTTATCAGCAATAGAAGAACTGTATATGGGGTTTGCTACAATGAGAAGTAGCTATTTAAAAAGCACTGCGCAGAAAATATCAACCATCACAAAAGACCTTACCAATCAAAGTAGGGATTTGTCTTATAAACCCAGTATTTCCCAAATAACATCGAGTATATTCTGGCTAGTAGGAGGCAGTAACCTGAATCTACTTTGTGTAAATAATTAGCTTTTAGAGTTTTCCGAATACTCCATTTCTTGGGTGTCCAAATCTTCTTAAAAAGCTAAGTAGCTTTTATTTTGTTTGATGCAAACTTCCCAATTGGCTGATTCAGAAAAACAGCCAATGGGCAAATATGCCAAGGTGAACATCCCTTCAACCAAAAGGCGAGTGAGTTTCTTCCTGAAATGGTCAAATTTTTTAAAGATACAAGGAAATATTTACAGTAGGGATGCACCGATACTAGTATTTGGGCAAGTACTCGTACTCACCCAAATGCTCTGATACTTACCTCCGATACCGGAACATCCGGTCAGAGGGAGATTTCCCTTTGACCGGCAGTGCCTAGGGAGCATTGAGCCGGTGTTCTATCAAAGTTTGTGACTACGTTGGAATGTGTGACTGGGTACGCGGTCACACATTTCAACGTAGTCCCACCCACTTTGACAGCCGTGAAATGTGTGATCGGCTCACTGCGCATGTGCAGGAACAGCCATAAAATTTCACGGCCGAGTTACCACTACTGCACTTGCACGGCTATTGCGTCCATGCTTAAAAATAGAAATTCAAACAAAGTATATATTCAATCAATAATAAAGATAATAATACAATCATTATGGATATTTTAAGAATATTATTTATCTAATTTATGATTAACTAAACTTAATAATATTATTAACATACCCACGATAATTGTATTATTATCTTTATTAAGTCAAAGTGGCTGGGATTACGTTGGAATGTGTGACCATGTCACCGGTCACACATTCCAACATAGTCATAAAATTTGATAGAACACCGGCTTGCTTTTCAGGCTGTCTAGGAACAAGTGAAGCCGGCTTCCTAGCCAATCAAGAAGCCAGGAGGCGGGTCATGATGTGCCGCCCGGCTTCCTGATTGGCTAAGGAGCCAGCTTCACTTGTTGGTAGGCACCCTGGCTTACAGACCAATCACAAAGCCGGATCGCACCGCATGACTCACTGCCCGGCTTCCTCATTGATCAGGAAGCCAGGCAGCCTCTGAAGCTGGTGTTCTTTCGCTAGAACACTGGCTTCACAGGCAATCAAGAAGCAAGGCGACGGGGTCATGATCCGCCACCCAACTTCCTAATAATTGGCGCACAAGGCACCGGTACTCGGTATCAACGAGTACCGGGAAAAAAAATAATCGGTACTCGTACTCGATACCGAAAAAACGGTATGGGTGCATCCCTAATTTGCAGCTGATAAAACATCCTGTAGGCCAGGTTCACACCCTTTTCTGGGCCAGAAACTGGCCTAAAATATATTGCAATGTACTTTATATTAAAAAAACACGACAACCTTTAATGCCAAAGAGAATCATTTTTGTCCCCCGAATATTTTAAATTTACAAGTATTTTTAAAGCAAACTTGCAGTGAAAAGACCATCAAGTCACTTTGCTTATTCTAAGGTGCCTAGTATCCCAGGTATTATGGAAATCAAGCTTCTCTGGTTTAGAGCCTACTCCTAACCCCCTCTACCTTCTAAGCTTCAATACCAGCTGACGAGGTTGCCCATCATAGTGTTGAGCCAATAGTGAGGGTTATGAGGCAGAAGAAACAGGACCAAGCTCTTAACCAGGAAAGCTGGTTGATAATGTGATTTTAGAGTTTGGGGTATACTGAATAAATCGTTCTCTTTAATTAATGTTCTCGATCTGTTTAAGTTAATTATCATTGATAAGGATCACATATATTGCAAAAAGAACACATACTTCAACCTAACACACAGGTCATAAGTAGCTATATTATTATGCGTGCCTGTGAGAATACTACACAAGCCAGGTAATTCATATACATCAGCTGAACACCGGAATCTCAGGAAATTAAAAACGTTTTACAACTATGTGGGGACCTAGTTGGAGTGATGTGTACTTTCTGGCAGGCTGTGGTAGAATCTCCATTCTTAGCCTACATAAATGTTAGGATAGGTAGCATATGCAGAACATTTCTATTTTCAGTTTGTGCGAATAGTAGCTTAGTAGGTGCTGGACAATAAGCTGCATCTGCAAGCAGTGGCTCAATGTCCAACTGAATGAATCCTTAGGCTATACATCTTTGTGACCCAGCACACACTTTTTCTTATGGGAATTTTTAAATAGGCATCCTTCATAAAAAAAAAGATTGAGCAGTGGCAGACATATTTACGGTGAAAATAATCCAGTCAGAAGTTACGTACGAGAATAGTAGCTGTTCCCAGTTTCTTAGGTTCTTCTGCTCTTTGACGCTGAGTTTAAATTCCTCATCAAGTTTCCGCACGGTGTTCTCCAGGGAGGCTCTCGACTCGCTGGCCTTGTCGCTTTCCTCTTTCTCCCGCTGCTGAGCCAGGAGTGCCGCCTCTCTCTTGTGCTCGTCTAGTGCTTGCTGGAGATGCAGTCTGGGCACATTGAGTTTCAACATATCGGAGATAATTACAGCACTCTCGATGTGTCTGAGATCTTCAATTGCCTTCTCAGTCAGGTTGTATTTAATCTCTTTTAATTCGTCTGTGGCATCATTGTCGTGCCTCTCATAGAGCTCTTCAAGCTCCCGGCAATGATTAGTGTACAGCTTTTTCCAGGTTTCCAGATATTCCTTGGAGTTCCTACATACCTCCTGCACACTGCTCAGGTCCTTCTTCTGATCTTTCAGCTATACCATGAAAAACAGAATAAACAAATGTCACAATATATGAAATTGTCTGTGAAGGTTCTCATTCATCCAGGTCATGGAATATCTGTAAAAAATAAGTCAAGGCAACTGGACTGGCTAATAACACCTCCTAGACTCCAATTATGCAAATTCAATCAACACCTGGTTGTGACTCACATATTATGTGGATTGGAGCGACATTCACATTCACCATATGTATTCTGAATTGAGAAAGTTGGTTGGATGAACAGTCTTCAAGAAAAATAAAATACAGTAAGTCCAGTTGCCTTGACTTATTTTTTACAGATAATATATGAAATTGTTGCATGCATATTATTCTACCTTATCCTTGCTTGAGCTTCATAGCTACATCTAAACAATAATTCTTTAACTTGTGTTAACAGTAATATACGATGTCACAACATTTATTTCTATCCAGAGTTACATACATTTTTCACTGAGATGGGAGAGTCGGAACACTGTGTAAAGTCTTCTCCAAGATTTTCAATGGGGTTAAGGTCTGGACTCTCTGGTGGCCAATCCATGTGTGAAAATGATGTCCCATGCTTCCTGAACCACTTCCACAATCTGAGCCCGATGAATTGCATTGTCATCTTGGAATATGCCCATGCCATCAGGCAGGCAGCTGACCTCATTGTTTTTACATCCAAATGGTAAAACAACCCCAGCACCTAAAATGCAAACTGGTCCCTTTTTTTCAGGTGCAATCAATTAATTTTTTGGCCATGTTAAATACCATTTTAAGTGTGGCAAGTGTGTGCAGACATAATGGAAAAAGCTGGCATTTATTGGGGTCTGTAACTCCACCACCCAGAACAGCCTTGCAATTTTTCTATAGACTAACTAACTGGTTGATATCGATACATTCACAATATTTAATGCCACCTCTGCTACATCTAACATGGTAAACCGTCACAATTATGTTCCTCTTTATCCTTAAATCACTACCTTACTCATGAAAAAAATAAGATAAATATACACAAAAAAGCCAATTATAGGATCCTTTACAGTCACCAAACCCAGAACTCGTTGTTTTAGTAGAATTCCACGGCAGCCCTTTCATAATGAATGTTCTCAACATCACAAAACGATTAATCAGATAATATTTCAGATCCAAATTCTGGAAACGTTATGCCTCTTCTTTTTTTCCGAAGGGAAAGATTAAGATGAAAATGCTAAACTATTTTAATAAGTGGATTTTTAGACTGTGCGCAGAGGAAAAGGAATAAACTTTCCGCAGATTTCGATGCCACTACACAAATGAGTCACTGTGCGGACACTTATTCATTAATAGTGCCAAACTGTTAAAATGCAAATGAGATATTTCTCCCAAGAATGGATTCCCTAGAGCTGCTAACCGTAGAAAAACACGGCATGCAAATTACAAAACGGCAATTTCTCTACAGAAAACATGAATATGGGAGAGAATCAGATGCAATGCTAGAGAGGTGACAAGCATACAAATCACCAGGATAAGCCAAACGACAAAGCCAAGCAAGGTTACCAGTCTTTATAACATTTTATATCTATTCCTGCTTTTTACAACAATACGATTCTAAAGGTGGCCATACACTGTACAACCATCGCAAGACCTTAGTCTTGCGATGGTTGTAAAGTGATTAAAAAAACGTACGATCTGCCAATCTTGGACAGGCAGATCGCACTCTCAATCATCGCAAGCCCGCCCCGCTGAGGGGCCGGCTTCGGCCAATCTGGGACAGGCAGACCGCACTCTCAATCATCGCAAGCCCGCCCCGCTGAGGGGCGGGCTTCCGATGACCGCAATGTTGAACGGGCAGTGTGCGCGTGCGCACACCGGCCCGTTCGGCATTTGTCTCCCGAGCACTGTTCAAACCAGCCGAAAATCGTACGATTCTCGGCTGGTTTTCTAACATGCTCCTTAGACAAAAGACGTGGGACCGTACAGTAGAAACAGTCGCACGTCTTCGTTCACACTGTTCGATTCTCGTACGACCTCGGGATTTCCCGCGATTCTCGTACGAGAATTGAGCAGTGTATGGGCACCTTTAAATAGCACACAAAATGGAGTAGAGAAGGTTTACAACTTCTGTCAGGGGTTTATTCGTGCCTGTGTCCCTTCTGTGGAGATTCACCCTCTTTATCTGCCCACATGACTATTGTTACCAAAAAAGAAAGTCATGGAACACTTGTTCTGGTGACAATTGTGTAGAGGTTTGTGCTGATGAGCTTTTGCTCTCTACAAGCTGGTTTTGCTTTCCTAGGTTTATAGGCATGAAAACCCTGCTTGAAGCAGGTCAAAAGCAGGCAAACTGCAGGTCCAACAAAATTGTCTAGAGGTCTGTGTTCATGGGCTTTTGCTCCCTGCAAGCTGGTTTTGCTTTCCAAGGTTTATGGGCATGCGAACCCTGCTATAGCAGGTCAGAAGCAGACCAACTGCAGGTCAAATGTACCTGTCAGTGAGATCTGAAGGATCTTAGAAGCGTGTTAAATTGATGCCATTGTCACAAGCCCACAGTCTGCCACACAGGCCTTAAAAAGAGGATCTTACTAGGATCTAGCTCAAGTCACACATGTATTTAGTGGGGGCTCAAGGAACAAGATCTGCTGAGTGGCTTTGATTTTCTTTCTTGAATATAGTGACCACACAAGGCCAACTGCATAGATGAATCCTTACACTAGCCAGTTTCCTTACATAGCCTAGGAATATGCATGCCAACATGTTCCCCGGTTCATACACTGCCTACTTCCAAAGCTAAATGCAGCCTCATCTACACAATGGGGAATGAAAAGCAGGATGACCAACACAGAATTGAGTCAGTAGTCTGAGGAACCTGACTTGAGTCTTATAAAATTGACAGGGATATCCACAAAAGGGTGAAGAGTTTGGAGAAGGCAGGAGGAGAGAACAATCTAGGACAACAGAGCTGAGCTGGAAAGGGAGCTGAATTGGAGAATTTTTCCAAAACAGCTAGATTGTCCTAGATTGTTCACTTCTCCGGCCTTCTCCAAACTCTTCACCCTTTAGTAAAGAACCCTTTTAGAGTTAGGTGAAGAGGACTATCTTATCTTAACACAGCTGCAATATCCACTGCCGCATTACCAGTTCAGGACAGAATTTTACTTGCTGCTTGAAGTTATTTAACCCCTCAGGGACCCTTTCGCTGCTGAGGCCTTTTTTTTGTTTTTGCACACATGTTATATCCCACATTTAAAGGCCTGAAAATTACTTCAAACCCCCAAACAATGTATATGTTCTGAAAGCTAAGACACTCAGAATTAAATGGCGGTAGTTAAACATTTTTATGTTGCACCATATTAGCGCAACTCTTTATTAAACCCTAAAATGTAGTGAAAAAATGCACTTCAGTTGGTGCCCCAAAACACAATATAATACCCATTTTCTTTGTAAACTGTAAAAGATGAGGTTACGACGAGATAATAGATACCCAACATGCCCAGGTTAAGAATGATGTGCGTCTATGAAACGGTGACAAAATTCAGTACCCCAAAAAGTCTATAGACAACGCATTAAGAGCCCCTACAGGTCATCAATTTAGAGATACGCGTAAATACTGGCCCTAGAGCATGTGCGTCGATACCCAACATGCGTAGCGTGATTGACGTTTTTGTATGTAGGCACACCCGAAGCGTGTTTACGTGAATACGAGCTTATTTCTTGGGGAGCTGAAAAATATTATTTTTTTACATTTATTTTATTTAATATTTTTTAAAACTGTTTTTTTTCCCCCTTTACTTAAATTTCTATCACAGGGGGCTCACAAGCTCCCCACGTGATAGTAGATTGGTGGTGACAAATACTCTTCAAAGTGATACTGGGGGTCCCAAAGACCCCTAGTGTCACCTTTGCACTGTAAATAACCTATTGAAGTACAGATCGCAATTCAATAGCTTATTGCTCGGCTTCAGGAGCCCAGCAATGACAGCTATGGGACCGGAAGTGAAGCAAAACGCAACGGCCCCATAGAACGGGGAGGAGATCGGTGAACGAACATTTGCTACTCTCCTCCCCAGCTTCCTGCCAACACCCAAGACGTCAGGCCCGGGCTCGCAGGAAGGGCAGCGGAGCCCAGAAAACACAGCGGGTGTGACGTGTGGGGAGTGGGGCCTGGTGCACTTTACCATCCAATAGAAGCGATCTGGTGGCAGCTGGGCCGCCAAAATCGCTTCTATTGTAAAGAAGAAGCCGGCCCTACAAATGTAGACAGAGTCCCCGTACTATGTACGTCACTGGTCGTTAGGGGGTTAAGGGAAAACTCCAGAGTTTTGACTCCTATAAAGTCTTGTTTTTGGTATAAGGCTTGTTCACTTCTAAAAAGGTATACAAAAACTTCAACCTTTCCCATCGCAGCACTGGGATTTGTCAGGTGAGAAGTGAGTTTATGAAAGCCCATGGAGCAACAAACACATAGAGAGAGGTATGAATTAATTTAAAACACACTTTAAAGAGACACTGTCACCTTGCCAATGTACATATTATATATATGAAAACAACTAGTAGCAGAAAAAAAAGGTGTTCAAAGAGTACCTGTCATTTTGCCCATTCACTCTTGATAGGGTATTCCTTTTCTGAGCACTGTATTCTAACACTGTGTTAACTCCATGATGGCTAGTGTTGGAGCTTAAACAGGGTTAATATTAGGGATGCACCAATACTGATACTCGTATCTGTATTATCGGTGCCTTGCTGAGTATTTGGGCTCACTCGTACTCACCCAAATGCTCCAATACTTACCCCCGATACCGGAACTTCTGGTCAGAGAGAGATCTCCCTCTGACCGGCAGTGCAAAGGGAGCATGGAGCCGGTTTCCTTTCTAATCAGGAGGCGGGTTATGACCCACCTCCCGGCTTCCTAATTAGCTAGGAAGCCGACTTCACTTGTTGCTGGGCAGCCTGGCTTCCTAACTAATCAGGAAGCTGGGCGGCACGTAATGACCTGCCTCCTGATTCATCAAGTTCTTTCGCTAGAACACATGTGACAGTGTTTGGTCCTGGTGATTGGCCACTCAGAAGTGCGCACTGCATCATGGGAGGAATGTTACTTTGCTGCTTCATACCTGAAAATGTGTGGTTTTTGTCCGCATGTCTGCAGACATACGGATCAGTGACGGAGGGCTGCAAAGGCGGGTATTTGGAGAAGGGGGGTACCCTGTCATGTTGCCCTAAGGTGACATATGCTCTCTAAATTAGTAACACATATGTGGAAATTATTATTTAATTTAGGCTGACCACATTCAGAAATGAAAGGTGTGCTTACAGGAAGCTGAAGAAATGGCAGAAAAAGACACGCAACATATTGAACTGGTGATGAATGCACAATTGAAGAAAATTATCTCAGTTTGGTGCAGGGACATTTTAAGCAGCTGGAAAGCAAGATTAAAGTGAAGAACTACAAATTGGTCCTTATTCTTACTGCCAGGAATGATATATTGTAGCATTCACCAGGAGATTGTACGAAGGCATTGCAGAGAATAGGGAGAAGACAGTCAAACAGATGAGAGAACTAACCTGCACTCAGATCAGAATGAATGAAATCTCTTCTTCTGTGTTTAGATCTCGATTAGTGTTAATTGAAATAAATGACATTCTTTATGCACGTTAAAGGAATAGGTGCACTTTGACAAAGTACATGACATATGCCTTCCACTGATCCAGGCAGCAATATTACCTAGAAGACCAATAGCTGTGTGCTTTCAGAGGTCAGCATTCTGCTGTGTGGTGTGCTGCCCAGGCCTGTTGCAACCTGTATCCATTGTCATCAAAATTATGATTACACAGGCCGGCAAAGGTGCCAGATTACAACATGATACGCCATGACAGCATCCCGTCATTACCCAGTGCACATGCTGTGCTCAGTAATCAGAATTGAGATTGAAGGGGCCATAGGTTGCAGAGGCCTTGGGCATGTCACACAGCAAAAAGCTGACCTCTGAAAGATACAGGTATGCCGTCTTTTAGGTAATATTTAGAGGTGTAACAAAATAAAAATTGTAAACCGAAAATAAAAAAAATGTAAAGCCGAAACCAAAATATTTTTTTTCTGACCGTTTAAAAGTTTTATTTCTATTTAATTTTTATACACTTTTTTATATTTTATTTTTATTAAATATTATTTACTTTTTAACTTTACTTTTAGGGGCTTTGGTGAAATATCAGGGGTCTGAACACCCCTGATACTTCCCTTTTACAATAGAAAAAGAGACTGAGGACACAGAGTCCTCAATCGCTTTTTCTGCAGCCCCTGATATGAATGAACAGGAAGCCTCTATACTGAGTGTTCCTGTTCATTCATAGCTTGTGGGTATAGTATGAGTTACTATGTACACATTCATGAATGAACAGGAAGTGATGTATATCACTTCCTATTCATAACTTGTACATAGTAACTCATACTATGTCCAGTTATTTACAAGCAGTCAGCAATTATTGATCACTGACTGCTTGTACCGCTTTCCATCCTGGATCGGCTCTCACAGGAGGGGGAGCCTGCGGTGTGGAGAGGGGAGCTCAGTCTCATTTGACAGCTGACTCCTCCCCCTCTCCACCGCCTCGGGCTCCTGTGACAGCTATCTCCGCCCCCACACCGCTCTCCGTCCTGATCAGTCAGAGAAGGCTGAGGGGGGAGGTGCAGGAGTAGAGCCCAGCCTCCTGTGACACGCTCACAGCGATCTCCTCTCCCGCACCGCTCGGCCTCCTCTGACAGTTTCTCTCCTCCCTGCTGGACGCTGCTCTGTGTCAGAGGGAACACAGAGCAGCGTCCAGCTGGGAGGAGAGAAACTAGGCATGCACCGCAATTTTGGCCGAAAGATGGCACTTACGGCATTTTGCCAAAAGTGCCATTTTCGGCTGATATGTTTCGGTGCATCCCTGCTAATTTTGGTACTGTGGCAGGAAGAGATCATTGGTCAGTCATTTTGTTAAAGAGTTATCCAAACAAATGATTTTCTGTTTATACCATGCCATACATATACTCATATTTACCCTTGCCATTTAGGGGTGTATTTGCAGGGCCATTTGGTCTGTGCAAATGGAGCCCAAAACGAATGTTCTTAGTGCATTTGAATGTAATTTAGAATGTCATCATGTAATACCCCATCATGATCACTAGATGAAGCTGAGGAACATAGGAAATACTTCTTTCAGCTCCATCTAGTGGCCATAATGTGGTATTTTACATATAGGACATTCAAATTAGAAAGAAAATGTTCTAAGAAGGTTCATTTTAGGCTCCATTCAAACAGAACAAATGTTCATGGCGTTTCATAGGGCCTTTGTTTATAAATACACCCCTATGTCAATATTCATAAATAAAAACTGCATGTGAACCCCAGGCAGATAAAAAACACGCAACACAGTTTTGTCTTTATTAAATGGACTTTAAAATGAATCTAGTGCAACAGACCAATTATGTCTTTATATTAGTTTCTTGTAATCCTCTGCTTCACAGGACTTAGACTGGGAGCTGTCAGGGAATATGCTGACACAAGGAGAGAGCAATGTGTACACAAAGTTGACTTAGCATTTAGCTCCTGCTCCTTTAGTGTCCAATCAGCAGGCTGAATGTGTGTTTCTGAATAATTCATGCTGGTGGTCATGTATCTGGCTAAGCAGTCTGGCAGGGTACATGGAACACATAACTTGCCGAGCAGAGCTGCAAATCCATTGCCAGGTGAAACTGTTCATTTATAGGTCAACTGTGTTAGCGATTTACGTGGAGTTCAGCTTTAAAATGTGTGTTCAGTCTTTAAAAAAGAACCAAAATGACTCTATTGGAAAGGTGATGTATCTTTTGAAAAAAAAAAATGAGAACAGTAAAAGTTACCTTCTGTAGAATCTGACGGTTCTTCTTAGTGGTAAATTTCTGGTGCAGTTTTCTTTTTTCTTGTTTTAATACGGTTTCTAACTTCTGTTTGACTTTTAAAACTTCTGACTGTGCTTTCTCCAAGAGCAGCTCGGCCTGGCTCTCACTTATGTATCCAGCCCTAAAAAACAAGTTTAGTTGACTCCAATGTAATAAGTAAAAAAGTATTCTTTATAATAAACATGATTTGGTGCCTGACCCACCTTCCTGAGCAGTTCTGGGCGGCCAATAATCCTTGTGGTGCAGTTTCCCACATGACGGCTCCCAGCTATGACTTTAGATCTCTCTCACACCCCCATCTAACTTATAGAGACGTCACATTACCGGGTGGTGGGGAGGAGAAGGAGGAATGTGTCAGAGCTTCAACTACAAAATTGAATTGGAGCACAAGGAGGATAAATAAAAGAATGAGTTGCCACCTCATTTTTACACAGATTAAACTCCTTAAAAATGCAATTTTCCTACATCATTCTTATGGCTGGATCCAGAAGTGTCCCCAGTGTTTTCAGTGCCTGAGGAGGCGGGGGGATGGGGTCACGGGTACGAGTGGTGCATGCTGCTATCGGTGGGGTGGATAGAGGACGGGTGCGTGTCCCGCTCAGCTCTTGCCAGCTCTCACTGGTTGCTGGGATGCTCTGGCTGGAAAGGGGGCTGGAGGCACACGGCCATGCTGCTCTGCCTGCCGCCCCCCACATGATCTAAAGAGATGCCACTTTCAGGCAACACCCTCTGACTGCCTCATTACGGGGATGGCCTTGGCTGGATCAATAGAACTCAGTTCTTTTAATGTAGATCTCACTGTGGTACTGCCAGCTTCTGCTGCTGATTCATTAGGAACTGGTGAAGGGGTCAATATAAGGGTTTAATATTGTTTATTATTAGGTTAGGCTGGTGTTAAAGTGACACTAAACGCAGGAGTTAAATCTTATAAATACATTCAACTACCTTAACTATTAACAACAATGTATCTTATTTGTGTATCACTCGGCTGCAGTTCCTCAAATCATCTCTGAATTGGTGCTGACACTGTCCTTCCTTCTGGAGGGTGCCTACTTTTGTTACCCATGGTCCCTGCGTGTGTTGTAAAGTAGCCACTGCTGCAAGATCACTTCTGTGATAGAACAATAATCTCAGTACAAATTACAAGTAAACTAAACATGAGATTGTAGTCTAACACTGGAGTGAGCTTGGAGCGGTGACTACTTTACAACACCCACAGGGACCATGGGGAACAAAATTAGCCACCCTCCAGAAGGAAGGTCAGTGTCAGCACCAGTTCAGAGATGATTTGAGGATCTACAGCAGAGTGATACACAAATAAGATACATTTTTGTTAATAGTTGAAGAACTTGAACATATTTTTAAGAATTAACTCCTGAGTTGTGTCACTTTAAGTTGGCCATAATCTGGTATATTTTTGTATGAACTTTCATACATTTGATAATGTCATCAGGGACTTGACAAATCTCGTTCGAAATGTTGTTTGATTTTAACATTCCATTTTGGAATTAATGGAATTCCCCAATGAAAACCACATTCACGTTAGAATTTCGTTTGTTTGAGAAAAATTATCTATTCTGCTCCTTTGATTTTGTCTCTCACTATAATTGAAAATGATACTCAATTTAACAATTATAAAATCAAATGAAGGTTCAGAAAATGATTTTTTTTTCAAATGAAATTCTACTGATGTAAGGTCAGCTTTTAAGGTAAAAGTTTAGAGGGTTAATGTGAAATGTTACAATTAAAGTGATATTAAAGTCAAAAGGATTTTAAGCTATTTCAAATGCTGATAAAATCACTTACAATGGACGCTGCTTTTTGATGTTTAAAAGTTTTAGTTTCCTGCAGAATCAGCTGGTCCCCTGAGCACTGGCTCTGAGATCCTATTTTAGAGTGGCTCCCTTCTCAAGCAGAGTGCTCTGCAGTCACCCTTGTGTGTGTTTGCATAAACACACAAAACCGAAAACATTCTGCTGTTTGCCTGATGAAGGGACCACTTGGTTCCGAAACGTCGCTTAGAGATATTACATCACCATAGTCAATAAAGTGATTGACTGGGCTACTCTCTGGAGTGCGAGTGACTTTTTTCTGGTTTTGAAAGATTTGCGAAGGCATCTGCTGTCGCTGCTGCACCCACCCTGTTTATTTGGGTACTTTCTGGTCAGGAGTATGATGGGATATATTGAATTTTAAGTTGATGCAAAAACACACAGACACAGCAAATCAAGCTTCTTCCCTCCACCCTGGCCCAATATATTGTTCACAATGGTGGCAACTTGACATTTTTTATTTGCCCTCACTTTTATTCCCTATGGCATTGATGGTTAGGACAAAGTAAATCCCCCCAATAACGACACAGATAAGAAACAATACAGACCTAACAGAGGCTTTAACTCCACACAATCTAAAAAATAAAGCTTTACCTTTAGTTATACTTTAACTGCCCCCTCAAAGTTTTAAGTGTCTATGGTCTCTTGTTGATCCTGCAGCATTTTTCCCACATTTAACCATGCATTGGGTGAACAGAAATGGCAGTACAATGAGAATTATTGGCAAACTAACTTGGTCATTAATCCCACCTTTCCATGATAAGAGGTGAGAGGCTCACTTATGTCACCTTTCTCCTTTCTCACTGTCACCTTTCCATGATAAGAGGTGAGAGGCTCACTTATGTCTTTATTAAATAAAAAATAAAGTCAATTTTCAGGAATTGTAATGTTGCCTTCTTACCTCCTTTTAAAACAGGAGTTGCAAAATCAAGATTTACAAACTTAGAGCGTATTTAAACTCAAAAACGAAAATGTTATATATTGCAGCTCACCAATTCTTGAATGTGGTCGCTGCATTTGTTTTCTTTGTAGTCTTTTTTTTCACCTGGTGATCCTGCCAGTAAGTTTCTTATTCAACTTCCCTTACCAGACCAAGCTGTCCAGGAAAAGTGCCAGATAGAGGGTGGTGACAAACCATGTAACACTAATCGGGGTGCTTACAATGGTCAGCTTTTATTCATTCAATTATCTCAAAAGAAAAGTAAAACTGCTGTAACTGATTAAAAAGTGTTAGCTGGAGTTCAGATTTAATGTGTCAGACAAATATATCTCAATCTGCTAGTCTATCGAACACTACCCTCTCCACAGGTTGACAATGCTGCTGTCCATACAGTGGAGACACCCTAAGACAGGAAGTGTGTTACTGGCTGGATCACAGGTGAAGAAAAGCCTAGAAAAGAAAACCAATGCAGCCACCACATCTAAGGATTGGTAAACAGCACTATATTAAATTTTTTGTTTCGCGTTTAGATACGCTTTAAACATCCATAAGCCCCCAAAGAGATCGCCACAAAATACTGTACTCTTTGCTGGTCATCCTCTGAGGTATGACAAGCTTTATGTCCCAACAACCATCACTGGTTTTCAAACATGCACCCTCTGGGTGACATTTATGACACCCTTCCTATCGGTCATGGTTGGACCTTGTCCAGCACCTTGCATAACACAAGTGAGTGTACAGTACACATAACTAGCTTGCTGTCCTACCGAATCATTGCCACCTTGGAGTTCAGTCTATATGGCCATTCCACAGATCCAGGTTTACCAAAGAAATGTCAGAACAGTGTAGTCATTACCTTTCCGTTCTGGTAATAAGATTTGCCGTTTGTGTTGCTGCGGAATTTAATTGGCATCGCAATCGACTGCCTCCTAGCTGGATGTTGTATAACAAGTGCTTTCGAACAGCGAGTCTTTTGTTCATTTGATATTTTTTAGTGGCTTGCAGAAAATCAATAAGGTCTTCTGCCTCTTCCTGCAGATAAAACAGAAAAACCTAGTTTACAAATGATTTAAAGGACATATCCACCTAGCAATAAACATCGTCTTTTGTGCCGCATGTCAAAAGAAACAACAGTAGAGGTCTTACACATTCTACTACTAAATGCACCTGATGCTTTTTATGTAGCCTTTATTTAAACAAAACCATGTTTTAGGAAATGTGATGCCAACAGCAAATTCAACAAATTTATAACTAGTAGTTAATGCTCATCTATACTAAAAAATGAATCTAAAGTTATAGTGTATAAATATCAGCTGATCGAAGGAGCCAGTCAAAAAATCTTTGCACGTATAGAGATAGCTGCCGACTCTGTTCGGGTATTCTGACAGCAGACAACGGCTTGGCTGCTGTCAGAATACAAAAGAAATAGTGGGGATTCCTTGATCAACGCGCTTATGACATTGATAGAGGAATCTGCTCTCTTTTATTCGTTAAGCTTGCGGGTTGAACAAAAAAAATAGAGCAGTGTATGGCCAGCTTATGTTTGCAGGGATAGAATACAAGTAAACAATCAAAAAAAATAAGTAACCCCAAAGAAGTAAGTTTGCAGGGAGAGAATATAAGTAAATAATCAAAACAAAAGTAACCCTAGAAAAGTAAGTTTGCACAAGTGTAAGAATTAAGATGAATGAAGATTCAGATTACTACTGTACATTATTATTATACAGGATTTATATAGCGCCAACAGTTTGCCCAGCGCTTTACAATATAAGGAAGACATTACAATCACAATACAATTCAAGACAAGATGGAAAGGAGGGCCCTGCCCCTGAGGGCATACAATCTAAAAAAATGTGTGACAGTTTCTCTTGAAATGTGGATTGGTTGCCTTACTGCAAATTACATCTCCAGCTGTAATTAGTAAGATTCCTCAGTGGCTGATTCTGGAAAATAATTGGCTATTTACTGTGTACTGACAGTTTGCAATGAGTACATTCGGTTCACTCTGTCTTACCTGCACTTTCAGATAGTTTTCCATCAGAGTTTTCCGTACTTCCGGTTTGGCTTTTGCTGAGTTCTGCACTTGATCAAAGACGATCTTATGCAGCTCAGTCCTGTGAGTAACAGCCAGCTGTCTGTAGGCCTTTGCAAATTCCTTTTCCTGCTTAAACAAAAGCATCCTCTTCATTTCATTCTGTTCAAGGCTATGGAGCTTGTCGAGAAGAGATCTGTATTCTGTGACAGGCTATAGAGAATTGAAGGGAAACATGCATGAATAAATATTTACTGGAAATTAAGTCATATGCTTTTACCGACAACCCTACAGTTACAATAAACACAGACGGATTCAAGGTGGCAGTCTACCCAAAATTAATATATTTTAGTTTTTGGTACCTGTTGATTACAAGAATAATCAGGAGGAAGACTCCAATACTGGAGCTCTCAGAGCTGGCGCTGAAGCCATTAAAAGAGGACGCTTCTGTCCAACTTCTGTGTTTTTAATTGATTTTATATTATAGTTAAACGAGTGATGACCAAGGCTTTCCTGCTATAGAAGAAGGAAGACTGCAAAGATGGGATGACGGGAGAGCACCGTCTACGGGGATGACAGGAGAGCACGGTCTACAGGGATAACGGGAGAGCACGGTCTACGGGGATGACGGGATAGTGCATCCCTACTATAAGGCCTTTGCTGTCGTGTGCATGAGCCAAAAGTGAATCCATCCATACTCAAAAGTATTGAATGGAGCAGTGGGGAAGTGAAGGAATAGGCAGTATGTGCTGGGGTATATGGGGATCAATGCTTTGTAATGAATGGACAAAGCCCAGGTATGTTGTAAAGTGAACGTATGGCCTTGTAATCTCTAGTAATTAGGTAGTTAGACCTTCTTCTCTTGTCTCTCTGTTGGCTGCAGAGAATGACGCTTCACTAACCGGCTCTCTAACCAAGAACGAGATGATGAGAGAGGGAATGGGTAGGTCACACAGCCAGCATAACATCTGCGGTTCCTGGTTTCCTCTAATAAAACAGCACTGGGTGCTTCTGAATTGGGGTACTATCTGATTAATAAAACAGTCCAAGCAGACACTGCATGTAACGTGTATGCGGCTTGGATGTGAGCACTGAAGTATTCACTTTATTTTAGCTTTTCTTATGAACCTGGAGATTCCTTAGGTGAATATAATGAAGTCCTCAGATAAATGTAATGAAGTCCTCAGATAAATGTAATGATGTCCTCAGATAAATGTAATGAAGGCCGATACTAACACGGAAAAATAGTTTGGTAAAGGACATGGTAAAATGGAAAATCACTTTAAAAATGCATTTTGAAAGGAGAACTATGGGGTCAGTGTTTTTCCCCATAGTTCTACTTAGGGTAACGGGAGGACACAAACTAGCGTCCTCCCGTTACCCTAAGCTCAGTATACCGCAAGCTACAGCTCACAATATACTGAGACGCCAGAGCGGATCCCGACATGGACGTCGGGATCCGCCCAGCTGCGTGAGTGACAGTTGGCTCTGCCTATCTAGAGGCAGAGCCAGCTGTACCTGCCGCTTCCCCCGTCCGTTCTGCCAGTCAGCGCTGGCAGATCGGAGCGGGGAGAGGGGAATCCAGCCCCTCCCCCTGTCACGGCAGAGAGCCGTGACAAGATCGAGAGGTGAACCGGGTTCCGGTATGTGTTCGCTCACCTCCCGATCTACTGAGCCGACCTGTGACGGTCTCATTGTCACAGGTCGGCTAGATCTATGAGGTGAGTGGAAATCACTCATGTCATAGTTCTCCTTTAATTGCAGCCTACTGTATGTAACTAACCACATTTTTCATTATATTAGTTCTCTGTAATCCCCTGCAACAGCACTATGTAGATTTGAAGAGGCAATGCCCACATTGTAAGCCAATCAAGGCTCTGGCACAGTGCTAGCAGTCTAACATTGTGAATGTGTTTACAGGAGGAAAGAGCAGCGGTGTAACCTCAGTAGTGTGCTGCAGATCTTTCATTATTCAATGAAGGGGGGGGGGTGACTGAACAGCATGACAAAGCTTTAGGAAGGTAAGGCAGTTATTAATTTGTATTTAGCAGTTTATTTGGAGTTCAGTTTTAAAGTGTCATATTATATATCATTAAATGAATAAAACTAGTACTAGAACAATACTAGTTTACCCTTGCAGCTTCAAAACATGAAAGCACTGCTATTTAAACCAGCAAATATCCTCAAATCATCTCTGAATTGCTGCTGTCACTGTCCTTCCTTCTGGAGGGGGGCTACTTTTGTTCTCCATGGTCCCTGTGTCCCTTGAATGTATTTTTAGCCCTGGTTCACACCTAGGCGTATTGCATATGCGCGGTTGTCGCGCGTTTTTTTTACCGCGAATCACGGTAAAATAAATAGCTCGACAAACGTGCGTTTCCGAGGGCTACTTGGCTGTATCCCAATGGAAACGTGCAACAAAAAGGGCCCAAAGTAGTACATGTACCTTTTCAGGCGTGGGCTGTTTTGTAGCGCGTTAGGGACGGGCTGAAATACGCCAAGATGTGAACCAGACCCATTGAATACAATGGGTTTAGATGTTTGAGCGTTTTGTAGAGCGTTCGTTGAGCGTAGAACGCGCTACAAAGCGTTCAGGTGTGAACGAGGGCTCAAGGTTTAACTCCTGAGTTTAGTGCCACTTAGTGCCTCTTTAGACGCGGTGAACCTTCAAAGTAAAGCACTGATGATGTTTCTGCCCCGATCCAGCCTTCTGTACCTGCCACATGTAAATGTTTTCTTTATTAGTTTATTGAACACAATTTTATCTCATTTGTATCTCATCTGCAGCTACCTAACTGCCTCGGACATTACAAAGGCAAACGATGGCAAATGATGGTGTCACACCTCCTGGATGGATTCCCCATAATGTAGAACAAATAAATATTAATGGGAGTCCAGCTGTGAGAGCATGACTCCATTATTAAAGGAATGTAAAAGAACATGATTTAGGTGATCTCATTAGTCTGGATGAAAGAACTCTGAGAAAATAAAAGACTTACCCTTGTGCTCGTTTTGTCTAGGGGGCAACATAAAGCAGTTTTACTCACCTGATCCTCGGTCCTCACCTCTCTCCTCTGGCTATCCCTATAGTCCTATGGACTGTCCCACAGCGTCCTCACATCTAATGCAGGTCAATGGACCTGTATTAGATGTGATGACATTAGCGGGCCTTAGACCACCAGAGCACAGGGTAGAAGAAGCTGTGGGGACTGGTTTCCCGGAGGGACGGAGGATCAGGTAAGTAAATCTGCTTCGTGCCCCTAGGCAAAAGGAGAACTTAACCCTTGCAGAGCGAGGGGAGCCCCATGAAAGGGTAAATTTTTGAATTTCCTGGAGTTCTTCTTTATTTAAAAAAAAAATCTAGGAATATCTAGGTATATTTTGTAATGATAAATGTACAAGGAAGCGGACATTGTTTTGCTTCGCTGGTCTTTCTCACAATGCCTATAAAATCTAAATAAGTTGGATGATTCAATAAAAACAATGCTCTCTCTGTGTGACTGATAGCTTATCATGTATCAAAGTATGAGTCTGGGCAAAGAAAAGAAAACTAAGAACAAAAATGAATTACATGTTTGCAATATACGAACATTTCTTGATGTTTTGTCTCTATAGAAATATCTAACCTACTCTGCTGCACTGCAATTCCAAGCAATGTTGTCGGCCATGCCGGTGTTCTCCTCTGTTGGACTACAGAACACCTCCTCTGCTAATCACCCTAACACAAGGGACAGATGTTCTTTTGTCCAGCAGGGCAAAAAACAGGTAAAGGAACAACTTAGGCTCCATTCACATTTTTTTATTTAATCACATGGACTGTTTATTAGATACGAGTGCATAAGTGTTTATCCCCACCCTGCTATTTTAGTAGGGTTGGTGTTAGTTCACAACTAGCTATGACTAAGGCCGAGTAAGGAAGAAACACGTCAGTGGTTGTGCTTTGTATAGATGCATGTGGAATAAAGTTTGAATTTCTTTGGAAGACCATCGTGTGCTGGTTCCACAGTTTTTGAGCCTATTACTCCGGAAGAGAATCATCCGTGCACTGAATGTGGATTGCGGGGACGCATGATAGGGGTGAGATGTGCGCTTCTTGTTTTCAGTTTCCATTCACATGGGGTGGTCTGGCTTTCCTGTTGCAAGAATCTACGAATTTTGTATTACAATTAGGGTTGCACAGATACCAAGTACAGTACTCGGTACAAGTACGAGTACATGTACCGATACGTTTGAGCTCCAAGACTACAATAGAGAAAATTTCAAAAATTAGGAGGCAGCTGCCATTTGTAAGGAGCACACGGAGCTCCTGGGATTTGTACATCTCTGTTTTAATGTACGATTTTGTTGTTATAAATATAAATAAAGGCACAGATACAAGTTTTACGAGTACGAGTACTGGTACTTGCCGAGTACTTACAAGTACGAGTACTGATACATTTTTATTTATTGTCAAGTGACATTTTTTCTAATACAATACAGACTAATGATTTCAGGACAGTGGTGGAGTGTCAGAGCCCGGTCCCAGCTGCGACCACTGCAACCCTGGTAGTTCTCATTAAAATGCCAAGTATCTGCACTGGTACTCGAAAAGCATCTGTGCATCCCTAATTACAATACCATGCCACGACTTCATGCCAATCGATTGGCATACGGTTGCAGCACCGTCACATTGACTGCAATGGCTGAGGTTGGCAAGCGGCACTGTCTGCCAAACGCGACATGGTGTATAAAATTTACAACAGCTGCAAAGCATTGCAGACACGGCCTGTGTACAAACCTGAGTGAATGCCATGAATTTTAGGCGGATGCTCCGGGGGCAGAAAAACCCTGGATCAACCACCTGTTTTTACAGCTTCTTTGCCTCCCGTGTGAACGAGAGCGTAGCGAACACATATTACTGCAGGAAATTTTCGGCATCTCGGATAAATACATTGGTGTCACAGGAGAGCTTCTTTTGCCAATTCATGCTGCCTGTTGCCCTGACAGACCAGAAGATCCTCTCCCAAATAATGCTGCATGTGTGAAAGTATCTGCCACTGACAATAATGTAAGATGCAAAACGAATGATTATCCACGCTATAGTGCTCTACCCCAAACTCCTCAATAACACCCTATTGACAGCTGCAGAGATAGAGAGAAGCTATATAAACTTCTCCCACAATATATTAAAACAAAAAACACTGCGCTATCTCTAATATTATAAAACTCTAAGTGCATATACTTAGTGACAATTATACAAAATGTCCACTCCAACTTATATATAGTCCATATGAAAATATTCCCAAAATTGATATGATCAAAAATAAATGTGATGAAATCCTTGTGTTTACTTTCTTTGCATCAGTGAGTCAAATAATCATTGCATATACAGTTCCACAATCACTCGTGACTTCTGTGCTTCAATTCCTCGTCAATTAATCACCAGTGATCCACCTTCAGTGCACAAACACTAGCACACGTTTTGGTTATTCTACAACATTTACAGTTCTTACAAGGGTAGAATCCCACCCCTCCAAAATAGCTCTTAGTCTTTGGTGGTGGGTCTACTACATTGTGTACCAGCCTATCTTTAAGGCCCCGTTCACATATAGCGACATACCTTTTGCAGCGGATCCGCACGGCCGGGATAGCGCGACTTTCGGGGCGACGTTCCAGCGACGATCCAGCGACGGTAGCGCGACCTTCCCCGTCGGGCTCCATAGAAAAAAAGTTAAAATCGCGCAAAATCCGCCGAAAAAAGGGTCCGGTAGAAGCGACTTGCGACCGCGACGAGCGACATGGAGTTAAGACAGCTCCATTGAATAACATTGGCCGGCGACTTCTCGCGATATCGCGCGGCAAAAATGCGCGATATCGCGGCGGAAATCGCGCGACAATTCGCTATATGTGAACGGGGCCTAAGGGAGGGTGCTTTTCTGTATATAACTTGCAGTTTCTTTAAAATTAAAGGGCCAATTATCCTATCCATCTTTAAAATTCCCCAATGTTTCTTGATAATTTTCTCAGTCTCTGTATTGAGCGGTATAATTAGTTATAAAGGACTGCAATGATTATTTGACTCACTGATGCAAAGAAAGCGTACACAAGGATTTCATCACATTTATTTTTGATCATATCAATTTTGGGAATATTTTCATATGGACTATATATAAGTTGGAGTGGACATTTTGTATAATTGTCACTAAGTTTATGCACTTAGAGTTTTATAATATTAGAGATAGCGCAGTGTTTTTTGTTTAAAATAATGTAAGATGATGCAGAAAGTATCAGCAAAAGATTTTTTTATGATTATTACCAATTTAACTATTTCCCAATGGAGTAGCAGGTGAGCTTTCACATGGGCTGTACCCATATATGCGTCCAACCTGACGGCTGTTTTGTGCAGAGAGTACGCTCACGCACACATTCTCAGCACAGGGTCCTGAACTGTCACCAAAAGCTCCCAGCCACCGTTAATGATCGGGAGCTGTTGGGAAGGGCTCCCAATCAAATGGATGCTATGATAGCCAATCCCAACAATCACATGATCAGGAAGCCTGCCTTTGCCTCCCACCGTTTAGAACCCCATAAAGGGCAGGTTGGAGTGGGAGCCAAGGTGTTTAAAAAAATGGCTTCTGGTGCACTACAATCACATCACCTATAATAAGCCATCAGAAAAAAGTCAGTTTTTTAAAGTACATGCACACCATAACTGGATGACATTTGGTTTGCTAAAGCACTGTGTAGCATTAACAATTGCCATGTCTGTTTTAAAAATGGCTCTTTTCATCTTTTTTTCATTCTTCTTTGTATCTCAGTGTGGCTGATCTCCTCCAGCGTCTTTGCAGACACTTCATGTCTACTTGCATTCACACTAGCCATAGCTGCATTCCTTTTGCTCTGGGAGCATTTCCCGATGATAACAGCTATGGAACATAACTGCACAATTTCTTATATTCTTCACTGAAAACACATGTGACAGGGTGACAACACAATTAGCAGAAAGAGACAAAGTGTTGTCACCTGATAACAGAAAGGGCCTGAACAAAGAACATAATGGATCACCATCAGGCATTACTTTTATTAAAGCTGCAGATTTAAACTGAGAACTCTTGGAGCATGCTATCTTCTACAGTCTGGTTCAGTTGTCTTATGGCCTCCTGTTTCCATTAGAACTGTTAAGCTAGCCATACACAGCTCGATTTTCTCTCATTTAGCTAAGTGTTTAGCTTATTCTTAGTTTACCAGTCCTATGTATTCTAACCTTTGGCCATCTGATGCTTGTTAACCCTTAGTGTTCCCAGTAAGCATGGTTTCCTGTTGCTTGTCAGTGCCCTGTTCAGCTTTCTCGTAATCTTGGTTCTGGCACCATTGCCTGTCACCGGTACAGGTAGAGGTCTGACGACCACTAAGTCTTGGGGGCAACTGAGTAATTTGAATGTATGTAGTTTGATTAAAAAGAGGCTGCAATAAGCATAAGAGCTAATAGAGTCTCATTGTCTGTGATCCATGGATGGCTATCAGGCGCTACTGGTCCCTTATGTGACATTTCTTGTCTTTGTCAGTGACTAATGTACTGATGTTGACCCTGGCACAGCAGATCGTCATCTTCTACCTTGATAAGGTTGTGTTCTGCTCTGGTTTTGTTCTCGACCTGACAGTGCACTATGAGATGTTAGATAGATAGATAGATAGATAGATAGATAGATAGATAGATAGATAGATAGATAGATAGATAGATAAATCAGCTTTCAGTAATGCTAGTTCCAACGCTAATCCAAGTGTGCCACCACCTATGGCAATCCCCAGCCCTACAAACACCTTCCTGCCCTTGCCTTAAAACAAAAAGAGCAACCAGTGCAGCGGCTAAAAAGATTATAGATTCATGGCGTGTGTCAGTTGTAATAATGGTAGTTTGCAGACCCTATTAATGTTCGTCTCTTCCGGGCAGCCCCCGTCCCTCTACATCCCTTCTCTATTAACACAACCGATTTGTACATGAAATGCTACCAGACCATTTTTCTGCACCCTTCGCTGGTGTTTACAGTGACCTTTCAAAGTTTAAAAACCTCCAGGGTCTGTTAGTCATTTTATTCATCATGTAAGTTGACAATGAAGAATGACTCAGAATGCCCCGTATTACTGCGCCAAGTTAAGAAGCCTTTGTAGGAAACAAATGAGAAGAAGGGGCGAGAGCTCTAGACACACAAATGTAATCTGTGTCTATGAGAAAAAAAAATTCAATAACAACAAAATTTGTACGTGTATTTTCAGAGAGTATATTAATATGGATCTAAAGCCAAAACATTTTTAGTGGCAGTGAGGCATTAGAATATCTGTCAGGTTTATATTAGTGTCTGTGTACATATTAGCGAAATTCACTCTCTCCATTTGTCTTGGTGACCGCTGTCATTGGGAAATTGCAGAACAGGAACACCAGAACAAAAATAGAGGGGAGATTTTCAAAAGAGGATACTTGTTTTGGGTGACATCTGTCTGAGATGGGATTTCCCTCCCAATAGAATGATTTAGTCTTGCTTCTCTTTTCTACTGTGTTCAAATATGAAAAAAAAGGTTTCAGCCATAGAACAGACTGTGGTAACTGTGCTACATCTGTGCTATACAGATAATATATTCATCACCACCTGCAATCATTTGTACAAGTGAGAGTTAAGCATTATCTCCAACTTAAATGAAATGAAACGTGGTGAGAAACATGAATAGTCATCCCTGCCGACCTTGCCTTCTGAAAATGCTAATTGGCAGTTTAGTAGCTTAAAGGTGAGCACAGGTTCTCTTTAGGAATGGGTACTATGAAAGTGAAAAAGTGCTTTACCCATGCAAAGCAAATCAGCAGGGTTACTTTATTACCCCCTACCCCAGCACCGCATACTTAATGACAAAGGAAGGTTCACCCTATCACTATACAACATTTTTTTTAAGCAAACCACATCTGCAAAAGGAACACTGACCACCAAACTCCACTACAATACTGAGAAATTTTCATGTAAAATTTCACACGGAACCCAACAATTCTGGCAGTGTGGATCCCCTAAAGCTCTAACAAGTCTCTCCCTCTGACTTTCACCCATTACAGATAACAGAAGTACCAGAGAAGTCAGCATGAGGAACGAGTGGGAGCTGTGGGGTACCCAGGAGATCAACAGTCAAGCTATCCATACATGGCTAGATTTTCTCCCATTCAGCCTGAGGGCTGTAAGAGACAAAATCAATCAGTAACCCCATCAACACTAAACAGCGTGGATGGAAAAATCTCCACTGCCGACTATTGTATTTAAAAGCCGCAGCACCCATATCTGCCTTAATGCCCGATCAGTGACTGCATTTGATTGCAGGGCCAGCCACAGCTCGGATTTCAGGATATGTCTAAAATTTGCACCATCTATGGCCAGCATATCCAAAGTATTGGTTTCTCTGCAGATTTCGCATAAAGATTTCTCCGCATTGGAGCAGGTAGCAGGAATTAAAGTGCTACTAAACTCAGGAATTAAATCTTAAAAGTGCATACAAGTACCTTAACTATAAATAAAACTGTGTGTTATTTGTGTATCACTGGGCTGTAGATCCTCAAATCATCTCTGAATTGGTGCTGACACTGTCCTTCCTTCTGGAGGGTGGCTACTTTTGTTCCCCATGGTCTGTGTGTGTGTTGTAAAGTAGCCACCGCTCCAAGCTCATTCCTGTGATAGACTAAAATCTCAATACAAATTAGTAAACTAATAGCGAGTCCCCAGAATGTCATTTTGGTCCAATGAGTTGAAAAGTTTGCATCACTGCCCTGGAATAGTATACACAGAAAGTATGCAGAGCAGGTGCTCCGGGTTAACTTTGACTTCTCTGATTTGTGTACTTGTCCCACGTCAGCATGTCAGAAAGCCCTGATGCCAAAGACAGCCAAGGAATAAGTATTTTCGAATTGTGGCCAGCAATGGTAGCCTCATAATTTCTCCTAGTACAAAGTAAAACCACATTGGAGGGGTTGCTAACTACACAGACAATGGCAAAATTGTGATTCTGCCTATAAGCTTGGCTTACCTTTTCCTCGGCATGTTTCATGATTCCCTCTGCCTCTTCGCTGGCCTCCTTTTGCTGCCGGTGCTGAGACTCCATCTGTTTTCTGGTGTCCAAGTTGCATTCTGCTGTCAAAGCTACCATCTTTCTATGATGTTCCTCTTGTATTTTCTTCTCAAGGTCGCTCCAGTGACCGCTCATGACAGAACTTATTTTCTTTTCCTCTAGTGGGTAGAGGGTCCCAGCCCCTGTCATTTCTTTCAGCAGCATTCCGGTCACATCTTTGCAGACCTGAATCCGACACACTTGTAAATATGCATCTGCCTGGGTCAGATTAGCTATCTCCAAGCTGCAGGGAGACAGAAAAAAAATATAGAGAAGTTCCAGAGTTACTAAAGATTAAAGGTGTAGCAATAAAAAGCATCAATATATCAAGTGTTAAACTAAGATGCCTATTGCAATTTGATCGGTGTTCTCCAAACTGCTTGATTTTAGGGGCTTTGCACGTGGCTCCCAACTATTTGAGATTTTATGCAAAAAAGTACCAATTATATTAGTATTCTTGACCAGTAAGAGGCACAACAGGCTAAGTGTTTGCCATTGAATGTAGAGCTTATAAGTCAGCACTCCAGAGATGCAAAAGCAAATACTCAAATGAGTATTTCATGAATGCCAGCATTTTGGGACCATGCAGGACCCCCCTTGTCATGGTAAAATAATAGCTGAGAGAACAAAGACCTTATAAAGGCACAGCAACCTATCAATATGACAGCATATAAACCGTTTGTCAGTATACCATTGCAAAGCAACCAGTGCATATATTGCTATCCAGATTTTACATGAGGCTTTGCATGTTTTTTTGTCATTTTAGGCAGAGTAAATAGCTGAAAGTTGATGAAAGTTACCCTGGTGTTTGCATTAGGGATGCACCGAAATTTCAGCCGAAAATTGCACTTTTGGCAAATTCCCGAAAGTGCCATGACGGCCGAAAATTCAGTGTATCCCTACTTCTCCAGCCCCCCGCCCGGGCACAAGTCTGTGTGCCTTAAGATGCAACGCCGGTGCCCCGCGGGGAGGAGAGAAGCTTTCAGGATGCGGAGCGGCGTGGGGCGGTGACAGCTGTCATCGTTGCAGGAGGTTGAGCTCTCCTCCTGCACCTCCCGACTCGGCCTCCTGTGTCAGGATGGAGAGCAGTGCAGGGCAGTGACAGCTGTAATCTGTCACAGGAGGCGGAGCTCTCCTCCATCATCTCCCAGATCCGCCTCCTGTGTCAGGATGGAGGGCGGTGATTGGGGGAGAGCACTGTGATCTGTCTCACAGGGGGCGGAGCTCTTCTCCCCCACTGCCCCCCTACTGTGACAGCCGATTCAGGATGGAGAGTGATATACAAACACTGAACGATCAGCTGATCGTTCAGTGTTTGTAAAGAACTGGATATAGTGTGTTTACTGTCCAGTTATGAATGAATGGGAAGTAATCTATACCACGTCCTATTCATTTATGACTGTGGACATAGTAAGTACACTATATCCACGATGTATGAATGGACAGGAACACTCAGTATACAGGATTTCTGCTCATTCATAACAGGGGCTGCAGAAAAATAAGTTTTGGCTTCACATACACTTGAAGGTACATTTTGTGAACTTCCTGACCTTACCACAGTTGCAGTGCTTTGTTGGAGAACATTTGCAGCTTCACTTACTGGTTTCATTTGTTGCCTGGTATTGCTCTTGAATATTATGTGGTAAATTAGCACAGCCTTTCTCAAGACAGCCTCTCTTTGTCTTCTGGCTTCCACAGGGGAGCCGTGAACCTTTTACACAGTGGCATGCATTTCTATGGTTTTCTGCGGGTTTCCCCCTTAAAATCCAGACTTCTATTTGAATAAGGGTCTGGTGTGGATTTTGAAAGGGTAACATGTTGCTTTTTACATTCGGTTCTTGGGTGCCTCAAGATTTTGCATACTTTTACAGGGTACCATGACTATAAAAAGGTTGAAAATGCTGAATCACATAATTTACGAGGGGTAGTAGTAATTGCCAGAAGCCCTTTGTTATTTTGTTCTCTCGAATATCCTTACAGAAACAATGAGATAAGGAAGACTAATATTGGAAAAGTTGACTTGGAGGACCGGAGAAGAAAGCTAGAAGGGTTTGTTATTCATGTATGAAAATGTAACTAAAGAAAAATCATTTTCATCACAGAAATTCCTCTTTCCACTATGCGTGCGCAGATGCTTACAGCTGCCCAGGTCGGTGAAAAAAGTTTGGGCAGGTCCAGCAATCATGCAGAACTTGCCAAAACCTCTTTCACCAATGATTGCAGACTTGTGGTCAGCCTAAGGATTGTCATAATTGATATCCCTCCAGATACAACTTGCAGCAATAGATAAGCCCCACCTTGCTTAAACAGCCACACAATCAAAACCAGTTATAACCTTCTTCCTGATTGCATTGTAAAAAGCATGCTCCATTTTCTAATCAGAAGAGAGAACGCTCAATAATAAGCATGCAGAACATCGCATGCAACAACAAGATCAAATACATATAAACATATATCATTACTCTCTAGTTAGGTCTTACATGACGTGACTGCAAGAATCTGCTGGATTACTCGCTTTTATTGGCAAATGTAGGAGCGTAGGCATTAGAACCCATTCACACTGAGCTACATCAAAAAGCGCTGATTTAAGCTGAGCGACTTTGAGAGACATTGAGCTACAGTGCACATATTGTCGCGCTATGTAGCGCTACTTTTGCCATGGACTACGTAGCTGCTACATTGGGCTGTATCCAATCAAAAGCGGCCTTGATGTGACATAATTCCTCTTCCTGTTTCCTGCTTATGTTTCTGCGCAAAAGTGACACTTCAGTAGCCCAATGTTGCACAAAATCGCTGGTAATGAACTACACCACTGACGTCTATTGGGCCAAATCGAACGAAATACGCAGAAAAATAGGTCATGTTCAAGCGACAAGCTTGAGCTACAAGCTACAGGCGACATTGAGCCTTCAGATGTGAACAGTTCCATTGAAATGCATTGGACGAGCTACATTGAGCTTATATTTGAGCGATTTTTTAGCTGAAATCGCGCTACAAATCGCTCACTGTGAATGGGGTCTTAGAGGGTGGTTGGATGTGTTAGCACATGCTTGTAGATTAATCTTTTTATAGTCATGCACGCTTGGATCACTTTTGCAGGCGACAGGTGGATGTAATTTAATTTGAAATAGCCAATAGCAGACTGGCTATTGAAACCACCCACTCACCCATTATAGACCTATTACAGAGTCTGGCCAAATTTGCTGCATGAGTGACAATCATCTCACATCCACTGGTAATTTTACTCATAAATCTCTGCCACTTTTCACAATCATTTAGCACACATAAAAGAAAATGCTTCCTGATACAAGATGGATTCTTATCTCCAGCACAATCTATCTATCTTGTCAGCAAACAGAGAACATATTAACACAAAACATGATAACGACCTCAAGAAGCCAGGCAGCTGTATGATCAGAGGACAACTATGAACAGCATGGCACGAAAGGATAATCTGATGAAGTTAGTTGCCATGCCCATCACTGTCACTCAAAATGATTCCATTTAATTCATACAACTGCTGCCTTCAGAAACATCATCTGCGAGCATTCTATCACACTGTATTCTGTTACACTAGGATGAGCACAAACAAAGCGTGCAGCAAATAAAGAGAATGGCTTAAAGTAAACTTGTCCTAAACCACTCTGCCATTAAAGAAGCAGAACTTAAACCCAAAATGGGTACCTAATAGGACCAAGGTGGAAGTGGTCTCCTAGGAATACAATAAGACTTTAGGTGGACCACTTTTTGTTACTATCTCACAGGCATCTAAAGCACAGGTTGACTTAGTAGTTTAAAGATGAGGGTCACTTTACCACAAACCTTTATTTCCCCCATAAGGTACACATGGCCATATAACTTTCAAATTATGCAGCGCCCCCAACATATAATGTGTTGAATATCATAAATCCTAAATTTAATTAAATACAAATATTCAAATAGAAGCTCTCAGGGCTGAGGCAACCATCCACCGTTTTGTTGTGCTCTTCAACAAAGGATATGTCTCCCCGTTTTATGGAAGAAAAAAGCCTATTTTTGATTTTGACACATCACATCAACTAACAATATATGGTGGTTGTCACTAATTATTTCACATACCCTGTGGGATCAATGATCCAGGGCCATTGATGACTTTTTCTTATATATAAAAAAAGATTTTGAAGGCACTGAATATTTATGTGTATGTTATATGAATATAATTTATTTAACTGAATCACTTATATATATTATATTTATTTATTAGAAACATTTATATTTGTATTTAATTAAATTTAGGATTTATGATATTCAACACATTATATGTTGGGGGCGCTGCATAATTTGAAAGTTATCTGTTTTGACCCCACGGTCGATTTTGCTGCAGCCTTCAAACTAAATTGGCACACTAGCACTTATACATTTCTCTAGGTCCAGCGCAGAATCACTTATATCTATACACATGGCCATAAATGTGTAACTTGCAAGCCAGAAATCAGCTGGTGCATGTTTGACACAAGACACTATTGTACAGGGGTCACAAGTTAGGGGAAGAAGCAAGTCATCAGCCAGTGGTTTCTTTATGCTGTGTATGTATTGTCACCTCTGTGCTAGAACTTCTTTTGAGAGACATAAGAAGGCTGCCATTGGTGACCTCTCGATCTGAAATGCTGTTTGCCCGGCTTCCTTTAAACCATTAAACTCAATTGTTTAGGGCCCTAAATACAACTGAGTCAAATGTACATAGTTTTTAGTATTTAAAGAGAATTAGGGGGGTAACTATTTTATCCCATAGTTCTCTTAAGGGTCACGGGAGGACATATACTAACGTCCTCCCATGACCCCAAGCTCAGTATATACTGAGAACACAGCAGCCGGGACGGATCCCGACAATACTGTCGAGGTCCACCCAGCTGGCTGATTGACAGCGGGCCCTGCCTGCCCCCTCCGTTCCTCCAGTGAGAGCTTGGGGAATCGGAGAGGGGGGGGGGGATCCCTGCAGCGAGAGGATCGAGAAGTGCGCGATCGACGGTATGTGTTCGCTCACTTCCCAATCAATAGAGCCGACGTGTGACAACTTCAATGTCACACGTTGGCTCTAACTATGAGGATGAGTGTAAATCACTCACCTCATAGTTCTCATTTTAGTTTTCAAATGCATGTTTCACATTGTTTTACTAGCTATATAAAAACTTTGTTCCACAAATACATATTTAAAGTGTATGAAAACCTTTACAATAATCTTCTCGAGTGGCTATAGGCAGCTTGAATTTTGGCCAACTTCTGGTCAATCGGACAAAAATCAAGGTGTGGGTGGCCCTGCAAGCACCACTTAGAGGGTGGAAAATGATTGGCTAAACAGTGACTGCATCCTATCAAATACAGCCATTGTTCCAGTATTCAGGCAGCCACAATACAACAGCTGGCACTGGAGATTCCACCATCTACGCTGTTTAGGGAGAGGGAATGGGGGAACCAATGGATTTTCTCTCATAATGTCCTTGGGTTGAACGAGAGAAATCTAGCCGTGCATGGCTAGTCTTTTTTCCTACTTTTTGATCTGAACTTTATAAGCTATGCCTAAAATAAGGCAGGCAGTGGGTAAAGGACTACTTACTAGTATTGCCTGTAGTCTCCCTGCAGCTGATCTTTCCTCAATAGTGACTTTCCATTCTATGTTCTGCACCGTGCCTCTGTGAGGAGGCAGCTATCTTAATAGAGGCAGGGATGAGTAGTTTAGCAAAGGACAATTGAGCAGAACTAGTACCACTCTGTCTGCAGAAATGTTGTGTGTTTTCAGCCCACAACAGGATTATCAGCTGAGTGTATTTCTGCCAGATGAACAGTATTTTTCACTGTCACAGATGGAAGATGCAGTGATTTATAGCATTTACCAAGTCGCTATCAACAGTCACATTGTCAGTGATGGGCCTTACATTGAGCAACCCAGCTGTTGCTCAATGTAACAGAGAAAAACTGCTTCACAGTGTTTGTATGCTTTGTAGCCAGCTGTCAAATATGATCAGAGTATCCATTTGTTGCAAGTCAGGTTCAAATCCCACCGGGTATACAGTCTGCATGAAATTTGTAGGTCTTCCCTGGGTTTCCTCCAGGAGATCCAAATTCCTCCCACAACCTAAAAACACATGGGTAGATTAACTGGCACCTCACAAAACTGGTCTTAGAATAATCGTTTTGAGTCTTTTAAAACCCGTCTCACCAAAACATTTCTAGTTATACTATTGCTTTGGTCCACAAGCCTTACAGTACATAATGCGTTCCATGTACTGCACTGATGATGACTAAATGAGAAGTAAACCCATACTTTTTTGATTTATGATCCCAGTGTAAAATAATGCTCTACTGTGCTTTGGTGATAGTTTGGTGGAAGTTTTTCTGGTTCTTTTAAAGGATATATAAAACCTAAGAACAAAAATTTACATGAACATGTTTGAAGTCCAGCCCGGGTGACAACTATGGCTCTCTCCAGAGATACAGTGGAGGGACTGAGCATAGCCACCGAGGGACAAGAAGTGTTATACACAGGATTAGCAGGTACAAGCAAGGGTAAAAAAGCATGAAAAAGTAAAGCTAATGCAGCCTCCTCATCAAAGGATTGGCAAGCTGCAATATATTACGTTTTTTTTAGAGGGCTTACATATGCTTTAAGTCCACCTCATAAAAACCTTTCTGGTTATAGACTGCCTTGTCGAGTGTGGTAGAGACATGAGATAATAACTTCCTTAACCAGTTGACATCCGCGGTGTTAAACCCCCTTCCCATCCAGGCCATTTTTCAGTATTCAGCGCTGCGGTACTTTGACTGACATTTATTCCGTCATGCAGCGCTGTACTGAAATGAATTTTATACCCTTTTTTGGGGACAGATAGAGCTTTCTTTTGGTGGTATTTATTCACCACTGGGGGTTTTTATTTTTTTACTAAATTAAGGACAAATCACCGAAATTTTTTTTTAAAAAACAGTTTCCCCCATATTAAATGATAAAACATTTATTATTACCCAATTTTTTGGTAAAATATAAAAGACGGGGTCACGTCGGGTAAAAAGACACCAAACATGTCAAGCCTTAAAATTGCGTAGAGGTTAAAGACTAACTCCTCTTTTGTTTAAAAGAAATCAATCCCCTCTGGGAGATCAGTGTACATTGCAAGGATTTTAACAAACTTTGTTGGAGATTCCGACCTGTTTATATTCTGAAGAAATAGCAGTTTGTTTCAACATATTCTTTCCAAACTGATTCCTGAAAGGGAGGGTCAGGGCACATTATATTCAGCTGGTGGACTTTCCATGTTCTAAATGAGGAAAGGTGCAGTGTCTGCATCCCTTTAGTAGTAATTACACTTAGGGAGTATCTCACTATAAAGGAAATGCCTATTGCAGGGAATGCAGAAAATGTTACTGGCAGTGCAGCATTCTGGGAAAATCAGTTAGCCAAGCACAGGAAGTGTAGGAAGTGACATTTCTGGGGGCGTTCAGTATACCAACTGTGTAAAGAATGCCTCCAGACTGTCATATTGTATTGAAAATTACAGCAGCTACAGTTTCAATTTTTTAATAACATTGAATTACAAAATGGCTTGAATAGCCTTTAAACATACTATATTCTTTCTTTACGATTTTTCAAATTGTTTGCTTTAAAGTGGAGTTTCCCTTATATGGGGTGATGTACTGTAAACAGCTTTACGTTATCTGTGAATGTGCAATATGCCAATGCTATAAAAATACAGGAATTATGCAATTCACAAATCGAGCAATCAGGAGGAACAAATTAAGCAATTGTCTGCAGGCTGCAAGGCTCGTAAATGTGTATTCAAAAGGATCACGATGCACAGCGAAATTAAGTGATTCACCTGATTTGCAGCAACTTGTAAACCGATTCAACTTGCCTCTAAAAATAAATAGGGGAAATCCAGCCTGGAATCAACAATACCACCCCCTCACCCCTCATTAAGGGTTAAATGGAAAAAAGAAGCAGAATACATGACATGGTAACTAAACATTCATGAACGCCTATTACTTTTTACCTACAAGACATAATCCATCCTCCGTCTCGGAGGACACTGGAGGGAATGCGGCTTCGCAGGTGCATCTGCGCCAGCTGGGAAGGAATCTACACAAAGCCATTTGTAGCTTTTAAAAAAGGTATGCAAAGCAGGTGTCCTGTGCGGATCTGCACAAAAGTCAGGTTGTCAGCTTTCGGAAAATTAATTTTCCCGACAGCCGCTTTTATTTGGGGAGCTGAGATTCTACTATTGATGAATGCATCAACGAAAAAAAGCTTGCCCCACGAGGGCTAATTATATTTGTTAAATCTGGATTCTTTGTTGATTTTTGCAGATGCAAGGCAAAATACAGGAAGGGGGGGGGGGGGGGGGGGTTGACACCCCCCCCCCAGAGTGTCCTGGCTGTGGCTAGCGAGGGGAGGGCAGAGGGGGTCACGTACTTAGGGTTGCCACCTTTTCTTCAAGCGAAACCCGAACACTCCAGCGACACGCGGACATATTTTTTTGGGAGAATGAGTTGTAGCTTATTCATATGTAAAAGGCACCATGCATTAATATGTAAATATCACAGTTGAAACTATTTTTAGTGGGGGGCCAGTAGCCCCTA